GTTGCTGAAGTTTTCGTACCTCCCGTATCTGGCAATGATCTGAGAACAATGTTTAAAGCCTCTCGTTCCCACCTCGGGAATAATGAATACGTACGACACATACATGCGTAGGATCTAATTACATACACGACCTTGCAAAGCAACAATGCAAACATAGGTACAGCCGAACGAACCCATCGTATCGAAGTCAAATGCTCCAGGCAACGTCGCAGAAGCACAGACTCTAGGGTAGTATGCGAAGCCAGATGCGTCTTATCACCGATCGAGTAGAGTCACCAAATCCCGAAGTGTGCTTTAAAATTACGACCGTAGGATCATGCGCCAGGGGCTTATTAATGATTGCTGTATAATAACCCCTGCATCCTGAAAGTCTTGGGAGTGGTGCATCGTCACAGATCCGGAGTCCGGACTGTTTTTGGCGCGAACCCTTGGCGAACCCTCGAAAGGAGCTGTGCTATTATCAATGGACACAGATTCTGGCTCGCACGTTCGTCAGCTGTCGTTTCGGGCCCCGCCCAGCTTTTTCTTAAGTCACAAGACTAACATACGTAGAGAGTGCAGTTCGCTCAGCAATCGGACCTAGGCAGTGCACAAGGATTGGCTGGCTGGAGTGAGACAGTTGCGCAACCTCCACAAACAGCGAGGAGTGTAGCCTGATGTTCACAGCCTTCCATGTGAGCCATGGTGCTATACAAGATCTCCCCGAGATGGCAACCACTGATTGTTATGTTTCCGCTTGCAATGTTGGCATCTGCCCGGTGTTGACAAGGACCCTTGCGACTGGCATTGCCTATCGTGGCCGATTGCCCGAGCAGCAAGGACCAGGTAGCGAAAGGCATGCATCGGCAAATAATGGGTCAAGAAGAACGGCAGTCCGCAGTCGGTGGGGTTCCTATTCACCTGGTGACCTGAGGGACATTTCTTGCATTTCTCTGAGCGGGAACACCTTCGTCAGCGGGCGTTAAGCGTGGGGGTTGGCTTCACTTGGGCTGGGACAACATCGTCAAGTTTTCTGCCAGCGTTGTGCCATTGGCCCAACAGCGTGTCCCATCTGCGTCTTAGATAGATCCATTGCAACATCAAGCGCCCGGCTAACGATTAGGATCAAGTTTCGTCGAAGAGTCAATCTCATGTCCACTTGGCCAATGGTGTGATGGGGATGCAATCCAGCTGCGAACCGTGGCATGAAGAAGTCGACTTTACTCCGTACGGAGTACGGATAGCGATTAACCATAGGCCGTGCGGTTATTGACATGGTTATTTGGTGGGAGTCTGCGACATGGCCCTGGTTCTTCGAACATCTGCCGCAAAATGAAGAAGTCGCTTCTCTAGTCCAATGCACAATGACACGCCACGCATTATCGTGACTTTGAGCTGCCCGACCAACCAATTTCTGGCGTTCTGTTTCTTGTGAAGAGGCGATAGGAAGCCAGACTATTCGTATACATCTCGCATCGTTCAACCCCGCTGTCTTGTATCACACACCATCAGACAGCTTCTCCCGATGGAAATTCTGTCGCGCTACACAGCAGCGGCCCTTGTGCTTGAACCGTGCAATTGGCGAAACAACGCCTGGGTGTTTGCCTCTTAAAGGCTGCATGCAGGCCAGTACAAATGGTTCGATAGTCTCAAGGGTGCAACCACACCAAAGAGGTATTATAGAGTCGTAGAGGCGAGTGCCGGCAATCCTTCTTCTGCGCTTGTAGACCCTTATCTGCGCCTGTCGCTGAAATGGCGCCCTTGCCACCAAGTGATTAGCAGCAGACTAACCAGCTTTCATGACCAACAAGCCTTGAGGAACGCGTTCTGAGCAACAATTGGCTAGTCGCGCTTGTGAAGGTGGTGTCAAGGAGTTCTATGCTGCCACATGCCAAGGACTGATCTGGTTTATGAGTCGCCTCTTGGGAACCTTCACGATGTGGGTGAAACAAAAAGTTTAGACTCGTCGAGCACAGTTGAGTGTGGTTGCAGGAGGAGAACAGAGAGAGGTGATCGATGTTTTCTTCATCTTGTGCGCCTGCATGTGTGGAAGGCTGTGCATAGGCCCCACCCGTCCCACGTCGCGCCGTTCAAGTTGGTCGTCGACACTGGCCAACCGTGTTGGGAGACATGCAACAATGGCGACACCCAGTACGTACACACAACTGTCTGGTGCACCTGGAGCACAGCAAGGTATGCTCATGAAATAGCAGGGGATCATGGCGGCTTGAGGGTGTAGCAACCGGCGAGGCTGGGGAATTATCAGCAGCCTTGTGATCTTGGATACGTACCTACATGGACAATGCCGAAGACACGCTAGCTTCGGAGCGAAGTCTCCAGGTGCCACTCGTCATTGATCATTGATCGACAGTCTCAATCGAGAAAATTCAGGACTCGGCCATTCCCATGTTGTACCTTACGGGAATGTGCGTTTCGTTGGCATAGGTCCATAGCGCGGCGAGCAGCTCCTGCTTATTCAATGCTCTCGCATCTCATCATGTGGCGGTGTTCGAGCTGTGGTACACAAGAGAAGATATTGAGTAGGCAGGCCAACAAGCTCCAGTCCCTTCGCAGAATGTCTGTGGCCCTGTGTGCGTCTGCACCAACACCCAAGTGACCCAACGCGGGTGACAGCGGTTTGGGCTTAGCGCATGTCCTTCCCGCACTTCTGCGATTGCTGGGGACCACATGGTCCTGCAGATACTAGTCAATTGGTGTGAAGCACTGAACACTGGGGGCCTGGGGTAACCGCAGTGTCCAGAGGTGATTCGAGTGCGTTATTCCATATGTCGGGCGACTTGGGAAGGTTTTGTTCGCCCCCTGCTGCAGCATGATGTCCTAGAAGCGTTGAACACGAAAGTAATTATGGATTGCAGATGCATTTCAGATCTCACATAGGGGTCCCCTTATCCTAGAAACGAGCTGAGCTTGGCAGTGATGGTCTGATGGAGCGTTCAATGATAACTGCTCTTTCGCATCCTAACCGTTTGCGCTGGCTTTCATACTCGATTACCTGGCCGTCGCATAGCAAGAGGACTGTTGAGCCCCCGCCTTGCCTGTCGGATCATGTCAAGCCATGATGTCGTTCGATTATGCCCCAACCCAAACGTACTGATGTCAGAGCAGGATAACAGACATGGATGCGGAGGCCAGGAGAATCATCTGCGGGGCAAGCCACGGCCCGTCCGTGCTTTGAATGGTTGGCAACTCTGGGGTTGGCCGCCAAGAGCCAATGAAAGCCGCTCGACAATGCAGGTGCACCAGCAAGAGGAGAGTTGCACTGCAGCATGAGGCATCTCCTGATTGTCTGAGAATAGCGAGGCATCTTTCTCGGACTGTTGCAGCATCCACCGGCGGGTTCCTGATAGTAGCTGCATACTGGACGTTGTGGTGGTCATGCCGAGAGGGACCAATGATGCAGACATCCACGCAGTGATCCCTTGCCTCTTGCCTTTGGATCAGCAGCAGCGACATGAGATATACGATAAATGCCTGGTTGATAAATGTTGCGAGGACACCCACGGGATAGCCGCTGCCCATTGCTTGCCGATCATCTGTCGAAGCGTTTCACCCAGGAGCAGCGAGTGGGTTTCGGGATGTGCTTCAAAGACCTATTATCTTGCGCCCTTTTGCGCATCGTCTCATACATACTTTCTGGCATCATTGCGCCTCCGGCTGGCGAAACATTGTACGTAAGCTGGAAGTCCCGGGACTTCACACATGACGCCAGGCAGAAGATCTTGTGAGGGAAGCAACTGGCCACTGGGCAACAAGTGTGGAGGGCATGCCGTTGGTGGCACGGATGCACGCTATGGCCAGGACGGCTTAGCGTCTTTCTGCAGCACAACGGCGTTTCAATGTTACACTGCCTGAGGCAGCAAAGCGCAAGGACGGAGCCTGGCGAATTCTGCATTGAACACTCCAGTCGTTGTTGGCACGACGGCTCATTCCAGTGTTGTCAGCCGCTGGAACACAGGACCTCTGCAGTTTTTTGTGCACTTCTCATTGTGGTGCTAGGCAGTTACACTGCGGCTATCTCAGCGCTGCCATGTTGACAACTCTGATGTGTGGACACAAGTGTGCTTCCTTTGCCCACATTGTCGTGTGCCTGTCCTCGAGTCTCGTTCATCAAGGTGGTGGTCGTGCGCAATTGGTGCAGAATTACGCGACGGGGCGAGAAAGCTGCCCATTGTCGCAGCAGACTCACGCCATCATTCACACGTGCGGGCCACCGAGATCGCTGTTGCGATATTTGTGCTCCATGACGGACATTAGAGAAACTGGTCACTTCACGGGACATGGCTCGAGGTCCTGCTCCCGTCCCTGCTATTTCCGTCTGAGTCACCCAATGCTATGATCACTGCCCCGTTCACTGCCGATAGACAGTCTCGTGAGTCGTCAAATCACGGGGGGGGTTGACGAAATTTTCCTCTCATCTTCGCGCACCCTTTCCTATCTACCTATGAAAGAAAGACATGGTCGAGATGAGGCGTTGCATGGCTTGAGTCTGGCCTCAAGAAGGTCGCCCAGACAGCACGGGCACCTACGCCCCCCTCAAGTTGTGCAGTCCTGCACAATTCTGCTCGAGTCTCAATCAGGTTCTGCGGCACACACCCTCTTGCATCTGGTTGATCAGCGCACCCCCCCTTCTTGGGCGCTAGGCAGGGCACGCCATGGGTGCTCCGCTTTGGACGCTGCAGGCCGTCATCCACTGACCACTGCTTGCCGCTCACCAACTCCACCAGGCTGTGACCATCTTTATACTTATTCCCACCCACCTCCGGCCTCACAGAACTCCTCCCCTCTCGATTCAACTTCACATTGACTTTCTACTTCAAGATATCCCTTTACCACTGTTGGTCTAATTATCACAGACGCAGCACCAAGCTTTCCTTATCGCCTTTCGCTAGACCACACTTGCTTCACGCCGCCTACTATTACCAAACTTTCAGGACCTGTGCCGACGACTCGTCGGGCCGATCCCTTCAGCAATCGCACACAGCAAATACACCAGAGCAACAATGGAGCATTGGTCGCATCAGTTTTGCCTCGCTTGCGACAAGCAGGTCGATTCAAATGCCGCCTACTGCTCAGAAGCCTGTCGCCTTGCGGAACTCGAGAGGTCGTCCACGCCGAGCTCGTTGGCCAGCTCACCAGGCATGGCGCCTTCAATGTATTCCCCTTGGGGCTCGCCCACGATCAAGGCCAACAAGTTCTTCTTGGAACCAGCGTACGATTTTTCCAACGCAAAGCCGTACGGGCCTTCCACGACCGCGAGGCGACACGCGCTGTTCGGTGACTACTCAATGTCTGCCTCCACCCAGTCGTCCAGCCTCACACCCTCGAGCTCCGGCACCAGCCTCTCGTCCATGCAAAGCGCATCGGGGACGAACGAGCCGAGCAGCATCTCTGCCGATGCCGCGAAGGAGTTGCGGGCTTACGCCATGGCCTTTGAGTACGCTCGTTCCCAACGAAGGCGATCATCATAGGCACAGCATATCTACCATGACATTTACGACCTCTTCCTCATCCGAAACGACCATCCTCTCAACTCATTTACGATCCAAACTACACATTACATCACACATCATCGCGTAACTCTTTGATCTCCTTATGTCGCATTTGTTGTAACAAAACAAGCATACCATTGGATACAAAAGTTTTTTTTCCTTTTTACACCTTTCTTCTACCATCATTCAACACCATTCATCAATGACCGCCGAAGTCATTCAATTTATTTTATCACGGGGCATCACGGAGTCAGGGGACCACATTGGGGGGTATTAACATCATGATATCAATTAGGACAAGGGAAGGGGCAATGGACGACAAGTCTGACGGCGCCAAAGGGAATTGAACAACTTTATATACACATATCAAGCGCGCGAAAAGAAGACATTTTTGTATTGGCTTGAGCAAGATTGGGCTATGGATTGAGTTTAGCACAGATTGCATGGCATTGCATGGCAATTAGCAGACGGCGGACACATACAACATCATCGAAATCAAGAGAATGATTCACTGCTGTTCAAGACAATTTCTCCTCTCCTTCTTCATGACCGGATGTTTGCCTTCCATTGCTATCAGTCTTGTGCTGTGTTCGCCGTGCTCCACCATGGACGCAGCAGTGCCTGACTTATTCATCGTCTCGTCTGCGAGAGGTGGACCAATCTTATGCCGCAGGCTACTACTCGCGACAAAGTTCAGTACGTATGTATGCATACGCGCACCTGACACGACATCTGATGCGTCCACCCGTATCACGGCACCTCACGCCGTACCGGACCGGCACCACGTTGAACCTCAAGCCGCCTATTCCCGTACATTCCTCTCTGCACATGCACCCACCCGTTGGGCACACAGCATTCGAGATTCGCCCCTCCCGACAGTGAGTGCATTGACCGGTCCGATGACTGGGCCTGTCCATTTTTTGCTGGAGGCGGCAAGAATAGCAGCAGCAGCAAGCCACAGGCAAGTTCTGCTCCGCCTATCCTCTGACTGACAAGAAAGAGAGAAAAAAAAACCGTGCCCAGAGCCCACTGACGGAGCGCCTCCCCGCAGCGGCGCAGCGCTGGACGGGCTGGCCGCAGAACAGCAGAGAACTTCAACGGCGCCTAGTATTATTCGGTGGGAAACTTCGTGGGGACTGGACCTGGACCGGGGAGAGCTCAGCAGCTTGCACAAGGCTGGCTGGGTCCCGTCCACTTGACGCTCTGGGGGCACTCCCACGAGCACCCCGTGAGGTGCTACGGTAGTTTGCCTACTGCGGAAAAGCCCACTGTTTACGCCCGTCTAAGGACAAATTTTCCACCCTCCACTGCTCCAGCCCAGAACTGGATCTTGCATTCTGTGGGTGGTCCCCTAACTCCTAAATAATAAGGTTCGGCCTTCAGGTAGCTTGGCTGCAGATACAAAGATCTATGTCGGGCCTGGCCTCCAGGCCCTCCCGATGGCAGCTTTCGCCCTGTGGGGGTTGGCGCGGGCGGTCCAGTGGTGAATGTGCGGCGTCCGGACTACGGAGAGTAGCGCGGGCTGATGGCGCGCCTTCAGCTGCCGATGGAGGGAGAATGGTCTGATCGTTGGAAATTTTGCTCCACGATGTTTCCTTTGCGATCAATCATCAAGGGTCCCTCCCCCCCGAGTAGAGGTGCGGGTTCCTGCGGCACGTTCCTGCTCATCAACCGTAGGGGGTGTGGTGATCCTTGCAGAGAGGAAGGGAGAGTGAAAAAAAAACTAAAAAAAACTTCTTCACCTTGGGCCTTGGCTTTGTTGGCTCCCCTGATTGCCAATGAATTCGGGTGGCTGTATGCAAATTCGTCATGGAGATTTCACAACTGGGTTTTGTCGGGCCCCCCTACGTAGCCCGTGCTCAATGACAATTAGATTACTGGTCCGATCCACGGCCGGCTCGGCTCTGAGCATACGGTGAGCGATCCGGTCTGGCATTGTGGGTACTAATTATCATCAGTCATCAGTCAGCTTTGTTGCTGTTCCCGTTTCTTGTCCATGAGGTCTTGTCAGCTCCGACTTCGCCGCGACTGATGACTGACCACGACATCACTCGTCGGTAATAGTTATTCACCTAGCCTCCCAGGCTTTCTTAGCTCTGCCCACTCATTGGGGGCGTGTGCTGTTTCAGCAGCGGGGCGAGGAGATCCATTTGACTTTCCCATGACAGCACAACAGGTCAATACGATGACGGATCGTGATCTGCGGAGTGCTACAGCACAATGGTGATTGTCTGTGGGGCAATTGTATGTTCTGGCACCACCTGCGCGCTCCAGTCCGCGCTCACCGAGGTCGGACGGTCACCGTACGTCAGGTATCGTAGCTGCCTCTAGAATTGATCACTGGACCACTGCTACGTACGTACCTTACTATCAATTGAGCTTCTCTGGATGAATAAGCCAGACAAGTCTAGTACCGTATCGTCCAACACTCACATTACACCAATTATTCGTCACCGTGAATAGAAAATTTCAACTTTGGCTTCCCTGTAATTGCTGAAGGCTTGTGCTCTCCCTGCTGCGCCGGTCCCGGACGCCTGTCCGTCCGTCCACCTCGATGAATAGCAATGTTCACAGCAGTAACAGCACTCGCATTGACGTGTCAGTCTCACTCGCCGCCCGTGTCCGGCATCTGTCTGCGACAATGACCACGATCTGTGCGACAGTCTGTTGACAGAAAAAATTTCTCCCTCTCCTGCTACCAAAGTTGTGGATTTGTTGTATCACGTTGTGCTGATGCTTGTGCCATGACCATCCACCATGTGCATGACGACCCAAAACAGGGTCAATGCGTGCGGCGCCAACTTGCTTGTTGCTGTCAGGTCAGTGCAAGTGTTGCTCAATGACCCTTGTCGTTTTACGTTTGCCGTAGTAGAGCCGTTGTCGACAAGGCACGACATGGAAGCCTATTTGCTCGTGGTGGGCGTGATGCTCGCCATTACTACGTACGCACTCCAAAGATCATGATTGCTTGACCTGACCTTCACAACAAAAATACACAAGGCCTTGGATCTTCATGTTCTCACGCGCACGATTCGACATAAGTGCAAGTCTGTCTCTGCAGTTCCGTCGCACGCCCAAGTGCGTATAGCCATCCCACAGCCACAGCATTCCTCCCTTGCACACATGCATGCACCCAGCACCCGCGCATACGTCTAAGTGGTGGTCTTGCCAAAACGTGTCAGCCACGCACCCAGTTCCCTTTTCCTGGAATGAGGTGGGCATTCCGGTCAAGTAGCGGTCAGCCATCATCAATTGTCCGGCATTTCGTCATGTGCTATTCGTGCGCTGCAGCTTTGTGTCTCGAGAAACGTGCTTTGCATGTCGTCGACATCACCCTCCACTCACACCTCTTGCATCCGTGGGAAACGTGGTGCAACGTGGTCAGGAACCCGTAGAGTGGCGCCTGTGCAGCCAAAAGTACACAATGTTAAGGCTATTCATGTCCTTCTGTGCGACTTGCGCCTTTGCAATCCCGCTTCGACGGGGCCATGTCTTGCTTGACTATTCGAATTCCAGCACAAGTGGCAGCCAGGCTGAGCCAGCTACCCGTCTCTGGATCTGCCTCGTGAGACACGGTTAGCCTCGATCGGGTAACGAGTCGCTTTCCCGGGCAGCGTGGGGGGCTGAAAGAGTCAAAGAGACAGTCATCTTCCGTGCTGAGAGTAGCTGATTTGGGTCTTGTCTCGACATGACACGAGGTGCGCTCACTCACACACCCACAAACGGAAAGACTACGACGTATCATGTCCAACGAGGTGTCCACCACTGCCGGATGGGCAATAGCCTCTCCCTGAGGCATCTGCTGAAATACCTATTCACCAGGTCATTGACGAAGAGCTCTGACCAGCATCTCACTCGCTTTCACAAATGGGCGTTGGATTATCACGCTTTGAGCTAATGGTGTCATGACCAAGACACTTTATTGCGAACGGGTAGTAGCCAGAGAATCCCAAGTTTGTACGTATTCGGGGATCTAGAACTAGCTAGCTTTTGCGGGCGGAAGTGGCGCGTCGCAGTCCGAGACTGATGAGCGCGGAAGTGAATGACTGCCCTATGACCTGAAACCGTCCATTATAGCGCTGAAGCATGGATTGGGTTAAGCAGCCTTAACGGCGGGCTCGAGGCGGCAGAAACCACCGCAGGTGGCCACCTTCTCCTGCAGAGCGACCATGCGCTTCTGGTCACCCGTGGGGTCGGCAGACTCATCGTCCAGAGCCCATTCGAGGAACTCGTTGGTGTAGTTGGGCTTGAAGTCCTCGCTCAGGACGCCGAGACGCTGGCCATAGCGGGTGACCTTGGTCCAGTCACGGGCCACATTCTTCATGTCCCGGGAGAAGTAGGCGTAGCTGCGCTCAAAGATCTTGCGGTCCAGCGCCGTGGCCAGGACGGGCTTGAAGTCAATGTACTCCTCCCAGGCCTGGGCGGGATTGGCCAGGACATAGTCGGTGGCACGCTTCGTGGCACGAAGGAAGGCGCGGACCTTGTCCGGGTTCTTCTCGATAAAGGCCTCGTTGCCAATGTACAGGATGGAGCAGAAGCAGCAGCAGCCCAGCTCGGCGAGCTCGTCGATGCGGAGCATCTGGACGTCGGTGCGGGGACGGTTCTGCGCGGCGAGCCACTCCTCAAGCTCAACCATCTGGACGTTCTCAAGGCCGATGCCGGCGTCAATGTCGCCGCGGATGATGGCCTTGGACACATTCATGCCGCAGCGGACGGCCGTGTAATCCTCAGGGGTCAGGCCGTAGTGCGAGGTCAGCTCGTCGATCTGGATCTTGCCGAACTCGCCGACGTAGCCGATGCGCTTGCCCTTGAGGGAGCGGAAGTCAGTGGTGACGCCAGAGTCCTTCAGGTAGACGACGCCGGTGAAGGGTTCGTCCAGGAGGGAACCGATGGACAGGACTGGGAAGTCGCGAGCCTTGGCCTGATGTGTGTTAGCGGGTACTTTGATTGCGTGTATGACAGGTAACGTACAGCCAGAGTGTGTATCATGGCCTTGAAGCCAAGATCGACCTTGCCGGTGCCGATGATCTCGGTGACATCCTGGGAGAGCGTCAATACAAGCTACAACATCGGGATGGTCAAGACGCACGCTGGGGTCGTTGGGCTCCAGCAGAGCAACCTTGATGCCCTCATCCTTGAAGTATCCCTTGGCTTGGGCCAAGTACAGCGGGGCGTGGTAGGCAGTGGCGTGCCTGTACAGATTTAATGACCATTCTCAATGTCTTGCTAGAACAGCGTTGCTACCAGTTGGTGAGAAAGGTAATCTTATCAGTCGCCATGATGTCTGATTACGTTTCAAGTGCAATGCTGCTTGGGGTTAGTTCGCTCGGGTCTTCGGAGGGGGGTCAGAATGGGGTTCGAAGAAGCATGTCCTTTCGCTGGTATTATCCAGATCAAGTTCGGCCGGTATTTCTCAGATCATCCACTGCCACTCTTCGAGCCTCCTTTGTGTGTACGTACAAAGGGGGGGGTTGAAGAGTGGCAGTGGTGAACACCCGGATGCATTCTTGTTCCTCGGATTTACCTTGATCTCTGCCCCAAGGGCACGATCCTTGCGAGAGGCGCCATAGCTTCTCCGACGCAAGCGCGTACCGATTTTGTGAAGTAAAGATATAGTATAATTTTCGGGTTTGATAGAGTGAGATGAAGATGGCAAGAGCTGGAAGCTGTACCGGTCGTGGGGTTGCGTGCTTTAATACACACGGGCCCCCATCCCCCGCAGTGACATGATGATCCCCTCATTCTCGTGTTACGCACGCAAAGCAGCAGCAGGGATCGGGTATTGGTCCCAGAATTCGAGGAAGCTTGTTGGTCAGTACTTTGCAGCTGCCCGGATACTCACGTTAAATTTAACTTGATCGAGTATTGACTAACAGCTGCTTGGTGATACTGAGGGCTGGCCCTGGCCCTTGTCGCTGCTTTAACTGCAAGAGATAGACTGGAGCTACCTTGACAGCTACCCCTCACAATTACACCTTGATAGCAATTGTATTTGCTCGTTATCGGAGCATCGTCGAAAATTTTCTGCCATCACACACTTTTTGGAAAACACCAATGTACTGGAGAAACTTCGAAGGTGGCTGGCCACATCTTTGACACTCAATGCTGTCATTCGAAGCTGGTCACGGATGATGGTGCTCCGTCCAATTCGCGCCGTAACAAGTACATATGTAAGTTCTGAATGCAGTATTCATTGAGATATTATTTGCAAAGTCGTATTGAAAGCATCCGACTTCTACAAATCTCGTCTAATGTCTCTATTTCATGGTAACCAATTCTTCCGCACTGACGGGGTGTATCGCGCATGTTGCGTCAAAGTCCTTCTTGGTTGCGCCCATCTTAATAGCAACAGCAAAGCCTTGGAGCATTTCCCCACTGGACAATCCAATGATATGCATTCCAATAATTTTCTCATCGGGTCCTTGGCAGACCAGCTTGTAGCTGGTGGGCGCTTTGTCCTCAGGGTCCATCATGGAGTAGAACATGGCCGTGAAGCTCGTCTTGTAGACCTTGAGGTCGTCTTTGCCGTACTTCTCAATAGCCTGCTCCTCGGTAAGGCCCACGGAACCAATTTCAGGGTGAGCGAAAACAACCGAGGGGACGTTGGTGTAGTCCATCTTGGCGTTGGCGAACTCAGGGGGGCCGAACAAGCGGGCGGCGAGCTTGCGACCGGCCGCAATGGCGACGGGGGTCAGTTCAACCTCGCCGCTGACATCACCGAGAGCGTGGATGTTGTCGACGCTGCTGTTCTGGTACTCGTCGACAACAATGTGGCCCTTTTCGCTGAGCTTGACGCCAACTTCCTCCAGGCCAATGCCGTTGGTCTCGGGGACGCGACCGACGGCCCAGATGAGGTGGTCCACCTCGGCAAAGCCCAATTCCTTGCCCTCGCCATCCTGGTATGTGAGATTGAGCTTGCCATTGCTGTCCTTCTCGACCTTGGTGAGCTCACTGCGCTTGTGGAGCTTGACGCCAAGACGCTCGTACTCCTTGGTGGCCACCTCCTGGATCATGGTGTCAAAGGTGCGGAGGAAGGTGTCGTTGCGGATGAAGAGATGCGTTTCGACGCCGAGAGCGTTGAACATGCCAGCGAACTCGACTGCAATGTATCTGTCTCGGTTAGTGAATGCTCCCGCGATTGTCCTCAAAGAGACTTACCCAGCACCAACGAGAGCGACCTTCTTGGGCAGCTCAGCGATATCGAAGAAACCGTCACTGTCCATGCCGTAGTCGGCTCCAGGAATGTTGGGGAAGGGGGCCGGTCGGCCTCCAACGGCGACAAGAATCCTCTTGGTGTTGATGACGACCTTGGAACCATCGTCCTGTGTAACCTCGACCTCGTTCTTGGACAGCAGGCGGCCGTGGCCGTGCAGGTATTCCACCTTGTCGTTGTTGAGGTTGCGCTCGTAGATGCCGTTGAGGCGTGTAATGTAGGCGTCGCGCTTCTTCTTAAAGGTCGGCCAGTCAAAGGGCGCCACCTGCTGGACGTTGAATCCATACGCCTTGGAGTCGTGGATCGCCTCGCTCAGGGCGGCCGCGTTGTAGGTGACCTTCTTGGGCACGCAGCCTACGTTCACGCACGTCCCGCCCAGACGCTTGCCTTCAATGACGATGGCCTTGGCACCGTACTTGCCGCTGGCGGCACGCGCAGAGGCGAGACCACCGCTGCCGCCTCCCAGGACGACAATGTCGGCTTCTTTGGTGGTGGGCGCCATGATCGCTGAGGTGGTTGTAAAGTGGCGGGACAAAGAGTTTATCCGTAGCGATGCAGTAGAGTGCGCGGGTACGGCAGCTCTCGACGTGGCAGCGATGGAGCGGGTGAATATATTCATTGGTGGAGGGGTAGAACGGAACGCCAACAGTAGGCAGTTCAACTCGGCGGGGCGCAGATGACGTCTTTAATAGGACGGTTATGGCAGACGTGCGTCGCGAAGTGTCTGGTCCCTCGAGTTTGAATGCGCGTGGATTTGAAATCCGCTAAAAAAAAAAAAAGGTCCAACACCGATAGATGAGAGATCGCCGAGGTACGAGGTGCCGGAAGTGCCGGGGGTGGATAGCACAAGATACCAGTGATGATACAATAATACAATTACAATTTCGAGGTAAGAACTGATAGTGTTTCCAAAGAGAGAGGAATGGTATGTCAGCATGAAGTTTCAGGGGAAGCTTCAATTCCAAATACGAAGGAGGGAACTTGCCGGGTAAGTAAAGTTGCGGGCTAACTTTGGCTGACTTATGTAATGGCATGCACGCATACGCTCTTCTAACGTGGCACTTGTTTCGATCATCGAACGGGCCGCGGATATCGGCAGAAGGACGACATGTCTGCCATTGCTCAGTAATATGAGTCTGTCTGTGGTGATAGCGGTCCCAAAACACCCGCCATCGACATTGACTCATTTGCCTTTCGACTAACATAACCAAGTTAAGTTACGCAGTGTCTGGATAGGCTACCCGGTACCCATCCATCCAGACATCACCAGAAGTCAACTGTTTTGGGGGAGGAGAAAGCGAGGGAGGTAGTGGTCTGTGACTGTCAAGCATTCGACTCTGCAAGTTCACTTCTTCATCCTACCCTTCCCTCGCATACATGGGCCGTGCCACCAGCCAGTCCAACGATCTGCCGCAATGCAAACGTGATACGGATATCACGTCGACTGACTCGTTGAGGCCGAACGCTATGAGGGACTGCCCGCGCAGAACGCCGAACATCTGCACAAAGAGTCATTTCTGGATTGCTAACTCGAGATGCTTCCCTACAGAGGTCTCTGTCTAGCTGGCATCATCTCCTTGATCTTCGACAGCCTTTACCGCAAGGGTATGGCCATGGTGGCGTGCACGATGTTGTACGCGCATGATCCATTTGCCAGTGCTCTCGCGCTCGGCGTCGGATCTCAGCTTCGTTGCCCGAGTACACCCAGACAAGGCAGTCGCACGCCCAGGCGAGGCACACACAATCCTCCATCTTCTTTGATTGGGACAAAAGGATCACCTGGTTGGGGCGCAAGTGGCACAGCGGCTTACTTGTATGTGTGAGATGACGATGGCAGCGACACAGCTGGGGCAACCTCCATCGCGCCAGTTCAATACGACCGATAGAGAACACAACATTTGCCTATATATGAGTGCTTTGGTGCTCCCCATTATATATGCTACATACCTTAAAATTGCAATCCCAAAGCATACCCGTACTGCCTAAGCACACATTCGGACATCGGCACAGCCAGCAAAAATGGGTTGCTCTCACTCCACAGAAACCGAGTCCAGCCAACCTCGCGAAGTGCAAATTGCACAAGAATGCTCACGTGGGTTCCGTGGTAATTCAGGTGGTGGGTATGGATACGGCTTAGCCAGCCGTCACGGTGGACATGTAGGGGGACTTGTAGGTCTCGGAGGACGCGGAGGAGGAGGAGATGGCGGCGGCGGCGGCAGCGGCAGCGGCAGCGGCAGCGGCAGCGGTGGTGGTGGAGGTGGCGGAGGCTGCTGATCTCCCTTACGGTCGGGAAGGCGATGATATGAGCCTGAGCAAAAGCTGTTACACACAAGCACAACCCTAACTTAAAATTCAGAAGCTCTACACATATTTCAATCTTCCAAGCCAGCAACATTATTTCAGGTAATTACCAGTTATATGGCCAACCTGTCTCAGGTACGTTGTACTCCGTACTGTAGATCGACATTATGATGAGTGTAGGGTATGTAGCTTTCTACCGCGCTGGTGGAATTTCACCCCGCCAAAGAGCAAAGAGGCGCGGGGCAAAGCAATGAAATTTAAAACTTCCGTTTCCAACCATCATCCGACCGCATTGCTGGGCACGCGATCGACATGGACTCTCTTCCGCAGCACAATGGCCCTCCATCGGGCACGGGAATTGACAGTGAGTGCCGGCCATCCGAGTTAGCGGTCTAATACTAACTCTGTGCAGACATCGTGGAGATCTGGCATCTCTACCGAAGTCCCATTATCCTCGCCGTTCTCGCTGTGCTCATATGCGCTCGCGTCTATATCCATGCCACAGAATCAAAAGGCGAATTGGTAGCTCTACCTCGAGCATATGCCGCGCCACCTGAAGCGGCCCCGGTCACCGAGCCAAAGCCTGCGCGACCGGACGAGAAGAAGCCCACGAAGTCCAATGGCCCAAGGAGAATCAAGGGTGGCATGGTTAAACGACCTTCTCAGAACGACGACGACGTAACCGTATCGGACAAGCCCGTCAAGACGCTGGTGTTCTACTCATCCGTCACGACCAAGACGCACAAAATCGCCGAAGCCTACATCGAAAAGCTAGCCACTTCCTTCGAGGCGCTGACCAAATCGACTGGTCGCCAGTTCCTGCAAGCCGAACTTCTCAATCTCGAAGACATTGAGTTCGACGACTACTTTGTCTCACTACCATCTTTCGATGGCGAGCCGGATGTCTTCTACCTTTTCCTGATCCCGAGCTACAATATCGATACGATTACCGACACATTTCTGCAACATCTCGACGAGACCCACCATGATTTCCGAATCGACACAGGCTCTCTGTCGTCCATACTGGGATACTCGGTGTTTGGATTTGGCGACAGCGAGGGCTGGCCCACTGAGAAGGAGGGATTCTGCTTCCAGGCCAAAGAAATCGACAAGTGGATGGCGAAGTTGACCGGACGCAGAAGGGCTTACCCCGTCGGTATGGGCGACATGAAGGGCGATCACGCCGCGAGGCTCTCGGAATGGTCTGCTGGTGTTCTAGACGTACTGGAACACGTGGCCAAGACTGGTAATCTGGGAGAAGGCCTCCCGGGCAGTGGAGACGCGGAAGAGAGTGACCCCGAGGATGTGGCAGAGGACGACGATGGCGAGGTCGTGATTGGCGATGAAGGCGACAGCACGCAGACTGGTGATTTGGGCGATGTCGAGGATCTGGGCAAGCTGGTGCGATCATCTGACAGTGACAAGTCTCGCCCCAGCAAAGGTGCTATCCCGGTCGACTTCACATCGTATGGGGCCAAGAAAAGTAAGCCGGTGCCCGCAGGGCCCAAGGAAATGGTTGCCAAGAACTCGCCGACTTACGCCGCGCTCACGAAGCAAGGATATGCCATTGTCGGCTCGCATTCAGGAGTCAAGATTTGTCGATGGACAAAGTCCGCTCTGCGCGGACGCGGGAGTTGCTACAAGTATTCTCTCTACGGCATCAATTCGCACCAGTGCATGGAGACCACGCCATCGCTCTCATGCTCGAACAAGTGTGTCTTTTGCTGGCGAGGCGGGACGAACCCCGTCGGTACCACCTGGCGATGGGTAGTCGATCCCCCGGATCTGATTTTCAACGGCGTGAAGGAGAATCACTACAAGAAGATCAGGATGATCCGAGGCATGCCTGGCGTCCGGGCGGAAAGATACAACGAAGCCCTCAGGATCAGACACTGTGCCCTGTCCTTGGTCGGTGAGCCGATATTCTACCCGTACATCAACCAGTTCCTTGCGATGCTGCACAATGAGAGGATCTCCTCGTTCCTCGTGTGCAATGCGCAACACCCAGAGCAGCTGGCAGCCCTGAAGGCCGTTACACAGCTGTACGTTTCGATCGACGCCTCCAACAAGGACTCCCTGCGCAAGATCGATCGGCCCTTGCACCGAGACTTTTGGGAACGATTCATGCAATGCCTCGACATCCTGCGCGAGAAGCGATTCCGCCATCGAACCGTCTACCGCTTGACCCTGGTCAAGGGCTTCAATGTGGAAGAGGAAGCGGAAGGGTATGCGAAACTTGTCGAGCGTGGCCTGCCCTGCTTCGTCGAGGTCAAGGGTGTGACATATTGCGGGACACCCACGTCTTCCAACGCGGGACTGACCATGGGCAACGTGCCGTGGTACTGGGAGGTGTGCGACTTTGTGCGTGCCCTCGAGAAACACCTCAAGGCCAGGGGGTTGAACTATGGCATCGCCGCGGAGCACGCGCACAGCTGCTGCATCCTGCTGGCCAGCGACCGGTTCAACGTCAATGGGAAGTGGCACACGCACATTGACTATGAAAAGTTCTTCCAGCTGCTCGAGGAGAAGGGCGTAGACGGAGACTGGGCCCCTGAGGATTACATGGGACCACCGACCCCTGAATGGGCGCTCTGGGGCAACGGCGGCTTCGACCCGCGCGACGATCGTGTAGACAGAAAAGGGCGGAAGATTGACCGTGTGATTGTACGTGATCGTCCGGAGGAGGTGGAGGTGTAATGCACAGCACGGGATATCTATCACAAACAACCGGACCTATCCCGCAATCACCTTGGCCTAGGCGCTTTTAATTCTCGTCATGTGATCTACAGACACATATAGCGACTAGTCTAGAATACGCTACCTCGTATGCTCCTATCTTCCTGCTCTTCCCTGCCTAGCTCGTCCTCGGGCGCCGAAATCGATGGTGCATCGCCTAGCCTCATCACCTCCCCCCTGGCCACTGACTCGGCATTCGCTATCCTTATCCGCGTATTGAGCGAGGGGATACGCCGCGTGCGCTGGAACCTCCTGTGCTCGTCCTCGGAAATGTCGTCCGTGTCACTACCAGCGGTTGACGCATGGCCCGAGTACGTGCCGCCTCCGTCGCGGCCCACGTGCAAAGCCCGCGCGGTGGCCGGGTCTAACAATGAAGTAGGCGTGTGGCGCTGCGACGACGAGTCACTATCCTCCGTCGTTGTTGTCACCATCCGCACTAGAGGTGACGGGCCCTTGGCCGGGGTATCATCCTCCTCGTCCGAGCTCAGCGTGCGGCGCCAGTCGCTGACGGTCGTCCGGGTCCAGGTCTTGTCGGTGGTGGCATTTGCATGCTCCACGTCTCGCTGGCGCAGGAGTTCGAGATCCTCACGCCTCTTGAGGTAGTGGCTGCTGTGGTTGCACCCGTTGGGACAGCCGCCCCATCGCCTCGTCACGGTGAACGTCTTGCTGCGGGCGAGGGTGGTGGAGGATGTGACGGGGGCCCGCTCCCTTTCAAGCCCGTCATCCTCCTTCTCGGGCCCGTCATCCTCCTTTTTAGGCCTGTGGTCGTCTTCCTTCTTCGTGACGACCATGCTTGTGTCGGGTTCCGGGGCTTTCGCCTCGCGGGCTTCCTTCAGAGCTCGCTCGCGGCGGAGATCGGACCAGGTGCGCAGGTTGTTTTCCAACAGGTACTTCCCATTGTCATGCCGTCGCATGATGAGAAACTCGCAGTGGTTGACGTTGCGTAGATCCTCAAAGTACTCGACCGAGAAGTGGTACCACTTCATCAGGAAGACGCGGGACATGAGACCGTGGGTGACCAGCACGCAAACGCTCGCAAAGTCGTCCTCGCCAAACTGGCGCCAGAGGGACTCGTTGAACCCGGAGATGCGGTCGTAGGCGTCCGCCGCGCTCTCGCCGTTGGGGATGCGGTAGAAGAAGTGGCCATAGTCGGCACGTTCCTGCCACATGCGCTCCATCTCGGCGCTGCATGGCTGGAAGTTGCCAAAGTCCTGCTCTCGCAAGCGGGGCTCCTCGTAGACCTTGATGTTCGCCCGTCGAAAGGGCGACGGGGAGTCTTCGTCAGAGGTGAGCGTCTCGAGTATGCCTTCAGTCGTCTCGCGCGTCCGTCGATAGGGCGAGGTGAAGAAGTGGAGGGTGTCGGTGGGACGGAGGAGTTCCCGTAGTCGACGACCTGCTTCGCGCGCCTGGGTCTGTCCTTCGGGTGTGAGTTTGACCCGGTGGTCGGGTATGGACTGATGGACATCTCGGTTCTCTGTGCTTCTAGTCAGTGCTGTGGCCTATTGTATAGGATCGACGTCCTCACTGTTGCCCTCGGACTGCGCGTGCCGAACCAGGATGATCAAGCGCGGTTTCGCCATTGTTGCGGTCAACGATGGACTGATGCTAAGGAAAGCGAGAAGGTGACCAGGTATACGATGCGGGAAAGAAGCAAGAGAAATGCCAGCTCGTCAATCATACGGAAAACCATGGAACGCAATCGTGGAAAGTCATGGGCCAGGTGAGTGCATGGCATGAAACTGAATTTGCCCTCCCTGACCAACGGAAAGTTGGAGATCTACCCAATCTGTAAGCGGGCGGCTTCGGTGCCCCTCCATTGTAGAGAGACTGAAGCTGTACCTCAAGGTAAGGCATGCTCGGTGGCGAGTCATGCTGCGCAGCGGCAGGTTTGGTCACGAACGCGACATCCTTTGGAACGCAGAGTGCTGTGGCATCGGTTTGATATGTTTAGGAAATCAAAATATGCCCTTGTCTGACATGGTTATACAATAATATCGAGGTCCCTGCAGAAGGTCACGCCGGCAGGGGAGCCGGTAGCGGAGCCTCCGCGTGGGGGGAGGGCGGACGGACTCCGGTGTAGACGCGGATGCGCAAGCCACACTTGAAGACGCACCAGCCACAGGGTCAGATGTACTCAGCCTCTGGCAACGCTGGGTTGCGCGAAGACGCCAACCTCAACTATTTTCTATCGAATTCTCTGCGCTCGCTCGTTTCTCTCATATCAAGTTCCGACGCGCACAAGATCTACTCCACCAGAGACCTGATTGCCTTGTCATCTGCGCAATCAGAAAACACTTCAGCGCAGTGTCCAGAGACCTCAAGCGCAACCGACGACCACGCTTCATCGTGCACGAAAACCCTCCTACACTCGCCATGTCTGCTGGCACCCAAGATTCGGTCCCCACGTCCGCGGACCCCAAGTCGCATCGCCCGACCAAGCGACGTGCTCTACTCTCGCCCACAGCCCAGCAAGCGTCCTCGCTGGACGCCCTCTTTGCGAAACCCCCACCACCACCCACATCCACCTCCCTCACACACTCTTCTGGTGTGTCCGCCCCGCCCGAGATCGTCAACAATGTGCAGGGCTCCTCGGCCGGCGCGGGCAGTGGCGAGTTCCATGTCTACAAGGCGCTGAGGCGGCGGGAGTACGAGAGGACAAAGGCCATGGACGAAGAGGTCAGGCGCGAGAAGGAGAATGAGCAGTTTGAAAAGGAGAAGGCGGAGCGGGAAAAACGGGACGAGGAAAAGACAAAGAGGAATCGGGAGAAGAGAGAAAAGGCCAAAGCAAGGAAGGGAAAAAAGGGCAAGGGGGGAACTGGAGGTGGTGGTGCGGATCAGGCGCCGCAAGACGCAAAGTCTAACGACGCCAACGGAGCCAAGATTGTGCCACGGAAGCTCGAGGCTAGAAATGGAGAGACCGATGGGAAAGAGTCAGGAGACGGGTCCAAGGAGGGCGAGGAGGGCGAGGAGGGCGCAGAGACAACACAGCCAGACGAAGGTCTGGTCATCCACGATGATGACTAGATTACTGAGTAGGCAAGGGAACACACGGTACCGAGTGACCTTGTGTACATACAACACCAAGATACCCATAGAACATCACACCAACACTCTTCATTGAGCCTGCCAATCTTTTGTCTATCTCTCCCTGAACCCCCAAGCCGGCCGCGGTCATGTGGTTTGCCAGATCAAAAACAAGGTGAATCGCAAAACACCAAATGTGCATCGTCACAACAGCAAAGAGGCTTTCCATTCATACATTTCTTTCATTTGACTTTGTCTATGCATTACTCCTCGCCGCCAGCGCCGGTCCCGGGCGCCATGCCCTGCTGGCCCTTTCTCGCGCTGCAGATATCGTCGACTCTGAGGAGTAGGCATGCGGCCTGGGACATGTTAGTCACGGAAAAGAAAGGGTGGTCAGATGAAGGGGAATCGTCTTACCTCTACAGCGGTCTTGATGCTCTGCAGTTTGATGGCCTCGGGCTCCCACACACCGTACTCGTTCATGTCCGCGATCGCACCGGTGTCACCGTTGATGCCCCAAGAGCTCTTGCCCTCGGCTTGCTTCGCCCTCAGATCCGTCAGCACGCGCACGGGGCTCTTGCCGGCGTTCTGCACCAGTGTCCTGGGGATGACCTCGAGAGCGTCGGCAATGGCCTTGTACGGCCATTGTTGCACGCCCTCGATCGACTTGGCCCTCTCGTGCAGGCGCACCGAAACGGCCATCTCGGTAGCACCGCCGCCGGGGGAGAGGCGAGGGTGGAACATGACGTTGCGGGCCACGCCCATGGCATCCTGGAGGTTGCGCTCAATCTCGTTGAGGATGTCCTTGGAGGGGCCGCGGAGCAGGACTGTGCACGCCTTGGGATCCTTGCACTTGGTCAGGAAGGAGAAGTACTCGTCGCCAATCTTCTCAATCTCAAAGAGGCCGCAACCGGTACCGACGTCCGACTCGGTGAGGTCGTCCACGCGGTTGACGATTGTCGCGCCGGTGGCACGAGCTATGCGGTTGTTGTCGGTCTTGCGCACGCGGCGCAGGGCTGTGATGTTGGCCTTGATGAAGAAGTGTTGCGCCAGGTCCGAGACACCCTTCTCTGTGATGACCAGGTCGGGCTTGACGGCGATGATGGCGTCGCACATGGCCTTGACCTGCTCCTCCTCGATCTGCAGGATGCGGTTCCAATCCTCCTCCTTGCTGATCTCAATGTTGGTCTGCGACTCGCCCTTCTTGTACTCGAGGGTGCAGTCGAGCAGCACCACGCGCGGGTTCTCGATGCGCCGGCGCATCTTGGGGTGTGTAATGTCCTTGTTCAGCATGACGCCGTCCAGCACGGTGCTGTCCTCAATCTCACCGCCGGGCACCTTCTCGACACGAGCGTAGCGCTTGATGTCGACCTCGGTCTTGCCGTTGCCGGCCTCCCATGTCACGGTGCGGACAGCCTTGAGGGCGAGCGCGCACATCTGGTCCATCCATCGCGAAACGAACTTGGTCCCGATCGAGGAGGAGATGAGCTGGGCCATGGCCTTGTCGTCGTCAATGTCGATAGGGTTGGAGATCTCGTGGATGATCTCGATGGCGTCGGCGAGAGCCTTTTTGAAGGCCGAGATGATCACCACGGGATGGATGTTTCGCTCGAGCTGGGGCAGCGCGTGCGCGAGGATTTCACCCGCTTCGACGTATCAGCTTTGCTCGTTCTCACGTTCTCTGACAGATTATTCCCTGGGTAAACGTACCCAAGATAATGACTGTGGTTGTACCGTCGCCGACCTCTTCGTCTTGCGTTCTGCTTAGTTCGATCATGCTCTTGGCTGCGGGATGCGAGACCTCAATCTCTCGCAGAATGGCGTGTCCGTCGTTTGTGAGGACGATGCCACCCATGGGATCCAGCAACATCTTGAGCATAGCCTTGGGGCCCAGACATGATCGAATGATATCGGCGACGCTGTGCACTCGGTTTTAGTGGGGGTTCTTTCTCGGGAGGCGGTGATGGCGGGTATTGTGGGAGGTGCGTACATCTTTGCAGCAGCAATATTCGACATCTGAGCTTGACGGCCAACCTGCCTCTCTCCGGAGTTGGTGTCTGGGACAATGGGTTAGCTGACGGGTGATTGCTTTGGGCCTGCCTGTCAGGAGCTGGAGGAGCTCCAGACAGCAAAGGGGCAAAGTGGGACGGCTCACTCATGACCACCACGGGGGCCTGCATGATGGGCAAATGATTCTCTTGACCTCTCTATGCGTCTTGTAAGATAGAAAGAGTCGAAACGAAGCTTCGTAATGTCCGTTTCTAGAGGAGGTGAGCGCGCACGACTTGGGAAGTTGCTTCTAGAAACGGTCAAGGCTTGCTTGGAGGGGCACCAAAAAGTTACCGTCCGCCGGGGGCAGCTTTTTCGTGGGGACCGGTATTCTGCCGGAGCCTTGGTTAATCCGCGCCGTGCCTGTTCATCGCCTGGACGACCGAGATCCACGTCAATTCAGGGGCAGAGTCGCAAAGGGGGCAATCAGGCCAATCAATATATGGTGATAGTTCTAGTCTATCTTCGCTCAGTATGTTTGATAAAGAAACCAGCGCTGGAACCCAATTGTGTCGTTGGTCAATCGCTGTATCCCAAAACAAAACCCACGCGCTCGTGTCGTCGCTCCCATTGCTTCTTGTTTATATCGTTAACTCGTTAACTCGTCTAATCGTTACGCTTCCATCTTCAGTGCCCAGAATAAAACTGTTCGAATACCCGTTCCAATGTGCAAAAGCCTCAGCATAAACCGTAATTAACGAGCGTTTTGGGCAACGATGCGCCCTTTTTAGTCCGTGGCAACAGATGCTTTGGGCGGCAGTACGACCCAGTCAACACCTTTGAGCGCCTCGACCTTCAGAATGCACTCATATTTTGACATGGCTTCCGCCACCTCCTGCCAATGCCATCGCTGTAGCCGCACTTGTCTATCAAAAGCATCCCACCATTGCCTCACGCTCATAGGATCAGCGTCATGCTGGCCGACGCCGGTGATGTGCAAGAAATCGTGTCTTGCAGCGTAGCTGGCGATCGCGGGCTTGTCCGAGAACCCAAACGACGGGATGCCGTCCTTGCTGAGCTGAAAAGTCAGGCTGCGTTGCGAACTCGGGCTCACAGGTGTCGGCGGTGGGGTCCCATGGGCCGCATGCGCCGGCCGTCGGAAGACGAATGCCTTTTGCCCAGGCGGGGTGGGCAGATGCTCAACACAAGTGATGTATTCATCGCCGAGCAGGGCCACCTGGAGCGAAGGCACTGCCATGATGAACTCGGAGTCGGGTATATCGCTTATTCCGCCCGGTATGCCGGGACCCTCGTGGTGCACCATGGGTTTGCGAATACGAAGCCACATCCACGTCCTCGTGTTGCCGTCGGGACCTTTGACGTTGGTCTCACATAGTTGCATGGATAGCGGGCCACTCGATGTGAAGGCCATTGGAGGCAACTTGTCTTTGGGTCCGCGGAGCTTGGCACCTGGGTAACGCCAGTCGCCAATCTTATTTGACAAGAACCCGCGATCTGCGGCGGAAAAGGTGCACGAAGCCAGCCCAATGCCTCGGAAGCCGTTTTTCTCACTGGCAGTCTCGAGACAACGGCGTAGGTCCTTGAATTCCACACCGCAAGCGAAGAGCATATGCTCGTCCACCACAGGTACTTGTGCCCATGACGCCTCATGTGTCTGTGGCTTGAACACGAGGGTATTCCTTGAACCGGTAATCATTTGGAACCTCCGGCCGGCTGAGGATCTATAGAGATGAGTGAGACATTCCCATATACATTTTAGTGCGGAAAGACTCACATCGCACGGAGGCATTCATGGCAATGTTGCTTCTCATACCATGGCTGTGGCGGGCCTGCTTGATGATGCCCACACTCCTTGGGTCGATACTCATCTCGCTCGGAATCCTCGCGACCTGGGGGATGCATGAGCGAGCTGATCTTCATTGAGCCGGCCTGGCGGCTCCCCTCCGCTCGAGCGCGGTCAGTGCCTTTTTCCGGTGCTGTTCGGGCCAACGGGGACTTATACACCTGGTCGTGATCACGCTGGCCAGGGGCGCTACGCTTTCGCTTCAGTGATGAGGGTTCAGAAATCTGAGGTGCTGGACCCCCCCTCAGACGGTTTCGGACGCCTTCAAGTAGAATCTGATGAACAGTTTTGTGTGTTGGCGAGTCATCCTGTGCTGTACTAGGCGCCCCGAAGCCCCGAGCCTTTCCCAGTGCTTTCATACTCGCAGCAAGTTCCTGGTCTCTTTCCAGACAGGGAGGATCTTGAGATGTCTGCTCCAGTTCGTGTGCGTAGTATTTGGTGTTGTAGTGGTCTTGTCTCGAAATGCTGAGGTCCGGAGGTAGCTCGTCCGCAACCATGCGAGATGGTTGATTCGCCGAAGGCCCATCGGGCTGTGTTCTCGGCTCCTCCACAACTGGGTTGAATAAGAACCAAGGGTAACTGCTGCCACTTTGCCCCCCATACCGTGGTGGCCGCTGTGGTGAAGATGAAGAAGCCGGTGGGTAGGCCATATCTTCCGCCATGTCGGTGAAGTCGGTCGGCATACTGGGTTAAGCGCGGAACAAGTTCAAAGCGAAGGGAAGAGAACACCTTGTCTGGAGAATCAAGGGAGAAAGCGCCAGAAAAAAACGTATATATTCATTGCTCTGTGCGTCCAGTGACGAGGTAAGAACAACGCTTAGCAGAGCAAAGTTAAACTAAGGCACCTTGTAATCAGGCGCTGCTGACGAAATGCCCTTCCTGCTCACTTGAGGCTAGCAAATCAAATGATACTTCCTTAAGCAGGGCTTAGACCAGTTGTTTTATTGTCCTTGGCTCCAATAATGAAGAAAAGCGCCCCTCCGTAGTGCTGTGAGGCTGGTGTGAGATGAGCTGCACGAGGGCGATTGGAAGCTGTGAGAACAATAGTATCACACTCAAGCACAGGTATCAATGAGCAAATTATTTGCTCAGATGACTGCTCTTCTCGAATGGTTGGTCTCGTTGCGTGGAGAAGTGAAACTGATGTGAAGGAAACGTCAGTCCAACCCCTGACAGCTTGTCACACGTAGCAATGTCACAGTATGTGCCACTCTAGCAGTCATGATGGTAGGTAGGTACATGGGCAATATATGGAACACGGCTCATCATGTGTTTACTAGCCCCAATGGTACTCAACCACATGACACTGAGAAGGAACAGTTTCCCATTAACACATCACAAAGCGACGGGATGTTCAACACTTGCGTACTTGACATGAAGTTCCGAAGGGGAGAAGACCGATCAGAAGCTAATGATACGCCGGCCTCCCCTCGCTGGGATGGTGGTGAAATCGAATGAAGAATTACATGTGGTTGAAGAAACACGACGATAATGACAAAATCATGAGACGCCTGTAAGACCCGTAAAACCCTGGCCTTAGTGCTCCCGAATCCATGCCTTCGCCTATAATGTTCCAAAGTTATGCTGAGACAGACCCGTCTCTCTAGTCTCTTCGGGTATCGAGATGGCGCGCTCACAAATGAGGGTGAAAGATATAGCGCCCTTTCCGTCAAGAAAGTACATCTAGATGTCTTCAGTCGTGTTCGTAAGTTTTTGTCTATCAAGCCCTGGAAGGCTGTTGACCCCAGTGTCGAGGGCCGTTTCTATGCAGTCGCTTCTCTCAAAAGAACTTGGCCATGGCCCTGCTGAGATCGATGAAATCAACCGGCTTCGTCACGTAGTCGCTGAATCCTGCCGCGGCACACTTATCTTGCACGTCCGACATGACATTGGCTGACAAGGCGATAATGGGCATGTTCGGGAACTTGGCCGATCTCTCCCAGTGTCGGATTTCGCGGCAGGCTTGGTAGCCATCCTTGCGCGGCATGTGGAGGTCACACTGGTACTGTTAGCTGAGAAATCATTCAGATCAAGTTCGAGCAGCTTACCAAGATCAGCGAATAATACTGGTGAGGCTTGGACAAGACCTTGTCGGTGCATTCGGCGCCATCGACCGCAACCTCGACGTCTACGCCGATCTTGTTCAGGTACTTCATGAGCACCTTCTGATTGACTGGATTGTCTTCCACGAGAAGCACCTTGTACCCCTTGTTTCCCATCCGCTTCTCGATCTCCAGGTAGCTGGCCTTTTGTGTCTCCACCATCTGTTGCGCAGTCGACCGGTTGCGGTCAATGCTCAAGTCCCGGACCTTGTCAGGGTCGAAGATCACGGCAAAGCGCGAGGGCTTGACTGGCTTGTATATGAAGGATATTTGATTGTCCGCGAGCAGCTTCTTGTGAGTCTCACTGCTGGCGAGCTTCAGCACAGCCTGTCGCTGGACCGAATCAGACAGCACCAATATTGTTGTGTTGTCGGCCTTTTGTGTCTTGAACAGTTGATCCATCAGGTCCAGCACGGCCTCAGCTGAGCCCAGATTGATGACGATATGGGTGAACTTGATGGGGTCGTGTCCGCCAATTAGCTCCTGGGCTTCTTCGACGCTCCCAAGAGCTGTGATTTGGTGGGGTACATGAGAAGGCAACGTCGTCTCAATGTGCTGCGTGGTGGCCTCGCGACTGAATTTCTGAGGACAGATAAGGAGGATCGAGTACATTGGCGGGCGGAACTCCTCCGGCGACGGGTGATCTGCAGGCGCCGGTGTAGGTGTGCGGCCGGGCGAACTCCTTCCAGAAGGCATTTCGAGCTTCATCTGGGAGAGGTCCTGACCACTGGCCTTGGCAGCCTCGCTGAAGCGGGCGAGGCCAGTGTGGACCGTTGTGATTGAGGACTTGTCCGTAGCATGCGATTTCCCCGACAGAACAGACGGGTTGGAGCTTCCGTTCGACCCCACTACTGGGGAAGATTCCTGCTCCGAAGCCGCCAACGGAGATCCTTCGACGTTGCGTAACTGTTTTGGCGGTGGCAGTGGTTGGAAATTACCTGGGACGCTCTCCGTGGAAGGCTGTCGTGACGTAGCGGAGTACATTGTTGAGACTGGACTCCCTGGCAGATCGGGGTGATCCTCAGCAGTAGGTAGCGTGAATCGCGCTGTAAACACAAATTTGGATCCCTTTCCTGGTTCGGCTGTCCCATTCATCTGGCCCCCATGCAACTCGACCAGTTGCTTGGAGATGACCAGACCAAGGCCACTGCCACCATGCTGTCTCGTGCTGCTGCCATCGATTTGACTGAAAGGCTTGAAAATTAACTCAGCCTCTTGCTTCGTGAAGCCCTGCCCAGTATCGATAATCGAGTATTCCAGCATGATCTCGTGGTCGCCGCTATGGCCATCCTCTTGAGTGTACACCCGACAACGACTGAATACCTCGCCTTGTGTGGTGAATTTGATGGCATTACCGATGACGTTGAGCAGCACTTGGCGAATGCGTACCTTGTCGCCCTTGACCCAGGCGGGCACGTCGCTCTCTACGAGGTAGTTGAGCTCCAGGCCCTTGGCAATAGCCATGGTCGAAACGAGCTCATTTACATCCTCGATGAGCGAGCGTGTGTGGAACCACTCGAACTTGAGCTTCATCATGCCCGCATCGACCTTTGAAAGATCCAGTATGTCGTTGATTATCATGATCAGGCTGTTAGCGCTGGTTTGGATAGTGTTGGTATAATCGCGTTGCTCCTCGCTCAAGATGGTGTCTTGCAGAAAACTAACCATCCCGGAAATGCCAATGAGAGGTGTCCGAATCTCGTGTGACATGTTACTGAGGAAACGGCCCTTGGTTTCCATAGCCTCTTTCAGCTTCGTTTCAAGGATTTTGTGATCATTGATGTCAGTGGCGGAACCAAAATAGGAGCTGGCGCCGCTGCCAAAATCGATGGTGTCGATCTCTACACAGCGGATAAGATGCCATCGATACTCTCCGTTCTTGGAGCGGAGGCGAACTTCGGTCGTGTAGGAGAGGCGCCCGTTACTATCGGTGCCGACCTTGATGATGCCCTTCCTGGCTAACTCGTTTAGATCTGCCGACGGCAACTCATAGACTGAAGAGTTGCCAGAGCTGTTGTGACGAGAAAGCGCCTTGTGTACGCCGCGAAGCGAGGCATCGGGTGTCTTTACTTGTTTCCCAGGGAGAAGTGTGTCTGTCGATGGGGCTTCTGACGTCGGTGTGCCCCGAGTCTTCTTGCTCGATTCGGGCCCTAGTGGTGTGGGAGGCGCGTCTGTAGGGATACGGCATTTGGCCAAGTCCTCGGGGTGTACATAGTCAAGGAAGCCTAGACCCAGTGCATCATCAAAGCTCTGGCCTGTGTATGACAGCCATTGCTCATTGGCGAAAGTAACACCGTCCTCCTCCGTCGCTGTGAAGATGATCTGGGGAATAAGATTAGCCAGAAGCCGGTGTTTAGCCTCAGAGGCTTCAATCTCTTCTTGCCGGGCCGCCCTCAACTCGGCGATGTGTTGGTCGTGAATGTCCATGTAAGACCCGAGGAACTGCATAATGACTCCACGTTTATCCTTTGAGGCTACAGCTCTGGCGTAGAACCACCGGTACTGACCATCAAACCGTTTGATGCGCACCGTCCTAGAGAATTGCTCACCCGTTCTCAGGGAATGGCCCCATGCCTTCAAATATTCGTCACAATCGTCTGGGTGTATGCTGCCCCATGGATCTTCCGCCAAGTCGGCTACTGTTTGACCGCGGTAAGACAGGTACCTGCTGTTGACCCAGACAATTTCGCCAGTTTGGGGCAACGCGACGAATACATGAGCGGGGAGTGCATCAAGCATGAGTCCCTTGAGTCTGTCTGACGGCGGCGGCATGTCAGCAGCGCCAGGGGCGAATGACATCGTCCGCGCAGGATTGCCGCTGGGAGGTGCAGGCCTGCTGACGAGGCTCGAGCTCGGCGGCAAAGACTGAAAGGTTGAGGAAAAGTCCGCGCCGTAGGTATGCAGCATTGAGTGCCTACTATGTGCTTGCTTGCTGTCGAAGCGTCCGGCGTCGGCTACTTTGCTGCGCATTTCCTCTGTTGCATCTTCCGCTCCGATAGAGCCACTTCTCTGAGTACTCTTAGACATTCGATGAGCGGCAGCTGCCGCCAGGGCTTCTTCCATGTCTGCCGTACCCCCGTTGATAGGCTCGGTTGCGTTACTGGCGGCATCGAGGGGCTTGGTTGCCGAAAGTCGAGATTGCGGTCGCTTCTCGGTGGGCGAGTCTTCTTTGGGCCCGCTACGACTGCCCGATCCACTTCCAAATGTCTCGTGGCGGGAAGTCGTTGGTCGTTGTTTACTACTGAAGTAGCTCTCCCCCATATGAGCAAGAGCTGACGGGCTGGCGACTGGTTGCCTTCTATCGATGATGCTCCCGAGAGATCCAGTTTCCCAGCCCGGTGTACCAGCAGGAGAGCCTGTCATGCTCTTGGAGACGCAAGAGTACTCACTTGGACTTGTCATAGTGGTGCCTGTTTGGGAAGTATGACGGCCTAGATCGGGGGCGTTTGGATATGGTGTGGTGGCCAGGGGTCGACCATCTGAAGCCACAGCGCCGAAGCCAGTTGTCGATGGCCTTCGGCGATTTAAGCCTGCTATTTCCGTCTCCAGGTTCTCGAAGTGTCTGCACAGAGAAAAGGAGGTGGCCATATGCGGAGCTAGGTGCTCCAGGGAGTGGCGCAAGTTCGAAGGGTAAGGGATTACGGGGCTGAGAATAGAGAGAATCGCGATGGGGGCAGGGTTGGCCCTCACTGGACTTGATGGTTCATCCGAGTCACTCTTGGATTCGTCTTGGTTGAGCGCTTGCATCGTTTGATCGATAGCTGCAGTATTGAGTCGGAATGCGCGGCTAGTCTTGGACAGCACCAGGTGAGTTAGGGGTATGTGCATGACGGTCCAGGAATTGTCGACACCAATAGCTTCTTGCGGGGGCAGTCCTGTGTAGACAGCTGGTGAGGCACCAGGATTGAAGCTGTCTTCATCGACTGTTGCATCCGTGAAAAAGGGGTTGTCCTGGGGATCGGCCCGAATGGCTGGCGAGGGAGCAGGTGATTGTGACCATGGAGACGGCGGCGCCTGCTCATACTCTTCGTACTTTGGCGTAGGTGGCCGTGGTTCGTCAAAGTCTACCCGGCCCTTTAAGCCTTGCGCATGATCCCCAGAGCCAACTTTGCCCCCGGCAGGATCCTGGGAGGGCATCGAGGTGCCGAAGATGGCAGAGCGCTTCGTGGTTGGATCAGGCTTTTTCGCAGTAGGCTTCTTGGTGACTTCTGGTTTCGCAGGCTTTGCGTGATCCTGCGACGCTGTGTTGTCGAGATAAGGGTAGCTCCTGGTAAGCGTGACTGCTTTCCCCCGTTCAATCACTCGCAAAACGCCAGCATGGTCAATCAGGGGATCAGCCTCGTAATTGAGCGCTTGCAGCACCGGTAGAACGCGACCTCGACTGTTGTTCGGCGTCACAAAAGGAACTTCCCACGTGGGAATGCTGCGCTCATGTCCCTCCTCTCGGAGCTCATGCTCCTCCAGAGCACCTTCGCTGAGACGTGACTCCTCCTGCGTATCTTCGGCCTGCACTCTCGGCAAATAGCTCCTGCTGCGTGCTAAATATGGGGGGCGATGTGAAGATACAGTTGAAGTCTGGTCGCGAGACTTTGTCCTGTTATCTTCGTAGGATGTATACGAGTGACGACTGGCCAGCCCAGGTCTCGAAAGGCCTCCCGGCTTTAGTGGATCTTCTTGTGTGAAAGAGCTCAAGGGCGTTCCTTGGTCGCTCATGGGCACGCCACTTCCCCCACTCTTCGCCATATAGCCCAGGCTAAGCTCATCTTCAGAATGCTCATTGTAAGTTGCCTTCTGACCCCATGGTACATTCTCAATATCTGTCGAGTCAGCTGGAATGGACAATGTCACCCTTTCAGCCAAGTAAACATCTCTCATGATTTGTACAACAGTATTCCACCAGGCGTCCAGCCCTGGCTCAGCGGACAACATCAATGATAGCTCATACAGATTCGGATTGGGATATTCGAGGCTCTCGGCCTGTGGCGAGGCACCTGCTGGGTTGAAGGCAAACGTTGATGCCGGTGTTGACAAGTTGGATAAGACTCGGTCCAGGGCTCCTGAAGATGGTTGGAACGATGCCACATGCGAAGGTCGATAATTGCCTCCTGAGGCTGAAGCAAACCCTCTGGAGCCCAAACCTCCCGACGCCATTCGGGGAAACGGGTAGGAAGGCGTGCTTGCTACATTTGCTGGTGTCATCCCTCCACGGACCGTATTGCCAGATTCAGTAGAAGCGTTCGTGGCGGTTGTGTTGAGAGCCAGGGGTATTGCCAAGCCTGACAAAGCCTCTTCGGGGATAGGAGACACCCGCTTATCCGAGGGATTCAAGAATAACGGTCGAGAAGACGTCTCTCGACGTTCCAGGTCGCGTGCTAGCCTCTCGCGATATTCGTTGAGTTGCTTTTGAGAGGGCGCCATGCCTCGCGCTTGGTCGTCCATGACGTATTCAGATTCAGTGTCATGGGGTTGGAACGCCCGCCTGCTTGGACTGGCCAGGCCACCACTGTTGCTTCGATTTGTGCTTATTTGCGGCGTTTTCGACGAGGATTCGGTTCTTCGCCCCGCGGGTGGCTTTGAGCTTTTGTCGCTCGCCATTGCGTCACACGCCCCTGGTCCAGACGACGCATTGAACAATCTCAACGGCGCATGATTTCCGTTCTCGTTCTCAACGGTCACTGGGAATTTTTTGTTCAGAGGTGAGTTTTCTCGGTTGTCGGATCGGTACGACTCTAGCCTTGGCGCTTTTTGTTCGTGAGAAACGGTCTGGTGGCTGGGCATGCCTTTCGCTTATGGCTGTTGGAAGATGCAAAAGAATCCGTACAACGAGGAAATTTAGTTGAGGGTCGGCGTCGAAACTTTGCTGCACAAGCTGAGTGCCACATGCTCCGATGTAAATATCAACGCATTAGAGCCAAGGAAGGGGAAGCGCAATGTCGAGGTTGTTAGGCGAGGGAGGGGGTCGATGTGATGCCGCAATGAGGCGCGTTCCAAAATGGTCGGTCAGCAAGGGTGTCCCGGCGGATCGATGAATAGATGTCAAAAACGCGATGCGCAAGAACGCGATCAGATCAGTATCCCGAAGACTGAAAAGGGACTGGAGACGGGGAACTTGGGGGGGCAACAAGTCAGAGAGGTACGAACTATGAAGTCCAAGTGACAGGCAAGAGGTGGACCAGGCGACTGGTTGTGTCCAGCGCTGGTTCGAGGCTTCGAGCCCATGACTCCAGTCTCCAGGTACCTACTGTTCCAAATGCCACTGAGAGCCGTCAGGGAACAGTCGCTCAGGAGCCACTGGATGGCAGCGAGTAGGTGCACCACCAATCAAGGCAGCGTCCCACGTGGGTCGTGGCTGTCTTCCAGCAGCCCTGGCAATTATGACACCATTTAGAGGCCATCGCCTGCCGCGGATGGGATTACTTGACGTCATCGCACCGTAATATATGGTGTCGCCCCCATCATTGGGCGAAAACTACAGGTACGGATACCCGTTCGATAATTATCAATTAATACTGCCTTACCTTAATTCGTACTGCACGAGTGAAGGTCAACCGTCAGAGCATATCAGCTGGTCGATACGTTGACCAGCGACCCGCGAAGATTTACTTCGAGAGATGCAGATTAATATTCCTCCCACACATGGTCACGCGAGAAGCTCTTAGCGAAGCAGGGCCGCATCACTGCCGCCAGCATCACAAAATCCGCGCAAAGTGGGCTTCCAATATGCCTTGAATGCATTTGTGTTCGCATTCAGGCCCAGGAAATCCCGACATGGAAGAACAAACGGCTCAGTATTCATCGAGCCTCGAGGAAACCTGGATCAGCACCGATTAATTCGGCAAGCCTACATAGAAACCCCATAAAAAGCTATCCACCACGCATGACAGCCAGCACACCAACTTCGCGTCGTTCGTCATCTGACACGTGCCCAGCGACCGACAACTCTTAACTTCCCGTCTTCACCGATTTTTGCTGCTGCGACTACAATCTAGTACCAAATAAAGAGCTGAATCTGCTCCTTTCGTTTTACCAGATCCACTCCTCAGGCCAGGCCAGGCTGGCTTGAATAAATGTGGGACAAGTCGGATCTACGGACACTGCACGCCATCGAACAATCGACGTTTCGCATGCCGACAATCAGGGGGAAAGCCAAAGCCCCATGGATTGACATGGAATTCTACAAGCCCCTTGTGTGGACTTTGCAATAATTCATGCTACTACTGCCCCCTGTCGACGCTTCTTTCGGCGCGCGCTGGCGGTGATTCGTGTTGTCTCCCCACGCAGCTTGTTCAAGATGGAGTCATGGACCGATGCTAGCAGCATCGGCGATCCCGAACATTTTCCATACGTAGCCTGCAATATTCGATCAAACACCCGCGTTAGATGGCTTGCGGTCCAATAATGGATTCATTGCAAGATGATCTGATTCTTAATGCCTCTTTGGGAGCGTCTTGTTCGCTTTTGCCGTGAGGCTGTGATAGTCGAATGAGGGCCCTTGAGGTGACCAATCAGAATTGCGATGCATGGCTAGATGACTTCAAGACTCCAGGTTGTAAATCGTGAGGCTGCTTCTAATTACGTGCCGGATCGAGCGTAAATGCGGTGTGCATATAACATAAGTGCATATGATTCCAAATAGTATGAAAGATTCCCGCATTGCGGCATGTCTGACAGGCCCTCGATGACTCAGGGAACGTTCGACGCTTTGAATCGCAAGACCCAACGCCGGAGTGCACCCAAGTAAACAAACAATGTGCCCACGGTTTCTTTGACCAGTCAAGGCGATCTTCACATTCCAAGCTTCTGCTTTTGGATTCGAGGCAGAGTACCCGTCAGAATCAGGACTGACAAGAGTATTGTCGCCCACAACTTGATCCCCAGCACGTTCTCGTTGAACTCTGTTTGAGTCGCCGCGATCACCGTCACGAGGAGCAAGACGAGGATAAGGTATCCACTCCAGCGATGGTATTTATAGAGAGATTTCGCATTGTCCACGCCTCCATACAGTGAGGGCACTGCCCACATTGTGAAGCCAACCAAGTACTGCAGGGCGAGGATGATCGAGGTGATGACGCCGAGATAGCCATGCACGGAGTGGAAATGATCATTGTGGTTGACAACCTTGTTGTACTCGATGATGGTGACGCCTCCAATCAGGCAAAGCAAGGCGAGCAGGTTGAGTGAAGCGTGAACGCGTTGACCGATGCGCTTCTGGTCGGCCGTGTGTGTCGGCTGGACGGATAGGATCGACTGAATCAAGACCAGCACGCCTGTGGCTTGGAGGAGCGGGTGACCTGAGAACAGGGACACGGGTTTAGTGAGAGTAGCCACCCAGATCATAATGAACAGCAGAATCGCGCCGAACTGGGTGATGGCAGCGGTGCCTAATTATTATTCCGTTAGCCCAACTGGAGACCCCTGTCATGATGGGCCTTACCCATAATGAGATTCCAAAAGATAGAACCACGACGAGGCTGGGTAGCGTCGCCGGGTCTGCCCAGCAAGGGCTCAGATTCGTTGCCGTTGGGCGCAACCACATTGTCTTGACCTGGAGGCCTTTGGGGCAAACCAGTGGCGCTCATGGTTGTAGTTGGTGGTCGGATCGGATATGTCCTTGGCGTCGTCCTGTTTACACCGGGTTGGAAGCTGGGTCAGGGCGGCAGTTCTTGTTGCTGGTGTCTTCACGTCTCATGAGCGTGTAACCACCAAGGTCTCTATGGGTCCCGCGTCGGGCCTTTATAGAGATTTGAATCAATGAAGTCCGAATCAACGCCGGAGATATGCAACATATGGGGAATGAAGGGATCGATGACGGCTCAAGGAGTGTTGTGTGATTTCATGTGAGCTGTGGCCAATCAGCGCGTGCCGATATACAGGCGGGCTGACATTTGAATGCGGGGGAAGCGGCGGAAGTGACACCTGAGATTGATCACTGCTTCAGAACAACTACGTAGTTTGTTCAAGGGGGGCTTTTGCCCTTGTGACCGCATGTTGCACCAGGCACGCATCGCTAGCCTTCGAATATGATGCGTGCTCCTGTGCGTCAGATCGGACAACATGCATAGGTTTACAAAACATGAACCGTAATGCTTTGCCCAATAGACCAAACACCAAGGGTACTTGATATGTTGCACCACAACAACAGCCTGACCAATGGAACAAACTTGTTCCATAATTGTAGTTATGAATCACACCTGCCTGGACACATATGGACCGCTGCCTAGGGCAGCCTGGCTTTGTCCAGTGAAGCACCTTGTCTAATTAGTAGGGTAGGTAAAATGGCTAAACAACGGCGAAAAGCGCATGATCTACCGCCAAGTCGCACATAGAAGCCCAGATAACCTATTACGCCCTTCGTTGAACCACTTGGCGAGCAAAGTGTCCAGTTGGGCATTTTCATCATGCAAACAATATAATTTATCCGATACTTTGTTTACCTTAGGTTGTAAAAGGGTCCGACGCTCTCCGAGTCCTTTGGTGATGATGCGGGGCATGGCGGGGTTCTCCAGCACTGGCAAACATGTTTGCGGATTCTGGACGCCCAGACACGAAATTGTTTATTTCGTTATTGTTTAATATATGTCCTCGGAGCAAGAGCGTTTGGCAAGTGGTTCGAAATGCAGACAGACTGCCTGGGGGTGCACCATGTATAAGGTCATCATTACTCGATAGTATCGAGTCAACCCACCCAGTGGAGGTCTGAGATAGGCTTCAGCAAGGCACTTTCCGGCAGACAGCCGATGGCCGGCGGCCAGCGACCATCGGAAGCGCCCGTCATGTTGCTCCCTCTTTTGCCTGCGTGAATATACTCATGTTCGCAACCCAGTCTTACAAGCATACATTTCGAAGCTGAGCGAAGCGAGACATCCCTTTCCGGAAATTTCAATCATGGCCTCTATTGTAGACGAGATCGAGTACAAGCTCGACAATGTCCCGGTCACCCCTGTACCAGCCGACAAGATTGATGGGACTTTCCGTTCAAGCACTATTGGTAGGACCACACATCAACTCCTGCAAGTCTCAGCAGCTGAACAATCTAGACCTGATCTCTGGGACATTGGGCGGCAAGATCCTGGCCTTCTCAGATCAATGGTTTGCCGAAGCCTCCAACCTCCTGACACCCACGCCCCCCATCAGCCAGCCGGGCAAAATGGTCTTCACTGGCGCTTGGTACGATGGGTGGGAGACTCGCCGCCACAACCCAGAGCCCTTTGACTGGGTCATTGTGCGCCTTGGTGTCGCATCTGGTACTGTCGAGGGCGTGGAGGTGGACACTGCGTTCTTCAACGGTAACCACGCGCCCGCCGTCTCAGTGGAGGGCTGCTTCAGCAAGAACGACGATGAGGTTGTCTCTTGGAAGGGCGGCCGCGGCAAGTGGGAGACTATCCTGGGCGTGCAAGAGGGAGGTCCCTCGCAGCGCCTGGGATGGAAGCTCAACTCGCCTACTGGCAAGCGGTACACTCACGTGAGGCTCAACATGTACCCTGACGGCGGCATCGCGCGTTTCCGTCTCTTCGGACACGCCGTGCCAGTCTTCCCCCAAGACACCAGTGCCGTCTTTGACCTCGCTGCTGCGGTCAATGGAGGTGTCGCGGTTTCTTGCAGTGACCAGCACTTTGGCACGAAAGATAACCTCCTCCTACCAGGGCGCGGAAAAGACATGGGCGACGGCTGGGAGACCAAGCGCTCTCGAGGTGACCACATTGACTGGGCTATCATCCGTCTGGGGGCGCCAGGCTATATCGAGAAGTTTGTAGTCGACACAGCACACTTTCGAGGGAACTTTCCGCAGAAGGTGGCGGTACAGGGCATCAATCACGAAGGGGGCGGCGACCCGGGCGCAGATGCTGAAGGTTGGGTGGAAGCTGTCGCGTCGAGCAAAACGGGACCTGACCGTGAGCACGAGTTTGAAAGCGCCGCCAGCTCCAAACCCTTCACCCATGTTAAGCTAATCATGATTCCCGACGGTGGCGTCAAGCGACTAAGGGCTTATGGTAAACGGGTCGTTTGAAGACGTGTGACAGGTTCAGAGCTTAGCATGCAGCACTCGAACACGCTCATCTGCCACCAGTGTAGCGCAATACAATAGCATGACGTGTCATATTGCGCCCAGTTGAGAATGAACGAGGTTAGGCTTCGTCAGGCGCGAATGTTATTTGACAATATTACATACAACCTTGAGTGAATAATAAGAACTTGAGGCAAGGCCGGGTACTTGGAAATGGGATTAAGTCCTGACGTAAGCGCACGAACCACCCGTCTGCCGGAGGGGCCACTAAAGCAGCACGTCGAACTTCCACGCTACCTACCTGGTATTAAGAGCTTCCCTCCTGGAATTACAGAGTGCCATCACCAACCTGACGTGGCAAGTCCCTCACACGATCTCGACGCGCGCTTGATGCGCGCCCCGCGACGAAAGCAGCGATCAACTTGAGGAGACCCTCAGTTCCCGCCATATAGTCGAACGACGCGGCCTATGAGCCAGGTGTCCTGGCTCTGCCCCTCCCTCCATAGCTATGGACCTTGGGGTGTCTAGCGCCGACGAGAGCGAGCAGAGGCCTCGCCCTCTTCCTGACGACTTGCCGAAATCCCTGAACGATCGACGGCATGCCTCAAAGGAGAGCTATGTGCCTGATACGGAGTTGTACGACGGCTGGCAAGGTGGGCTTCCCGTGTCGCGTGATGGCAACTAGACGTACTGACTGGCTGGAAAGGAGAATCACAATTTCTCACAACACCCGCTTTGGCCAAGCCTCTCAATTTTGGCAACCTGTCTCTCAACGATTACGAATACGAGAAAGACACAAGCAATGCGCCCAAAGACAGCGACACTCGGCTGATGGAGATGCTGGCAGCGCAGGCGAACCACCTCTCTACCGAGCTAGAAGACGAGCAGGCTATCATCGATAACGAGACGCTGTCCGATTCGGAGAAGAAGGACATGCTACAAAAGGCTTTGCATACGGCGGCAAGTAACGGCGATGTTGACAGACTCAACAAGCTTCTCGATGGCAGCGCCAAGGACTTTGTGGATGTCAACGCACCTGATGAGGACGGTACGCCACCTCTGATATACGCTAGCTGTTTTGTAGGTCTCCGAGTCCCGGTGGTGAATACGACGTCTAATCAGTGTAGGGCCACGAAATTGTGGTACAGGCTCTGATCGCAAAGGGCGCCGATGTCAACAAGCAAGACCGAAATCAGTGGAGTCCTCTAATGTGGGCAATGACCAACCGACACAAAGGGATCGCCAAGGCTTTGCTGGACAACGGTGCATCAGGAGACCAGAGAACATCAAGTGGTCGCACCGCCTTTGACTTCGTGCCGCCTGACAGCGAGATGTCGTATTATCTCAGCAGCAACGGCTACAGTATTGGCAATGCCGGCATGGATGACGATTTCTACAACCCAGGGTTTGGCCAAGACCGATTTGAGGAGGAACTGGCCGAGATGGAGACACGGAGAAGACTTATGATGGAAAGCGCTCGTGACCTAGAGGTTGACCTAGGCAATGTAGGCATGGACGACCAGCCAGAGGTAAGGCCCCCCAGTCGCATGGTCTACACCCTCGCTAATTGGTCAACTAGCCCGTCGAAGAATTCGAGGAAGAACAGCAGGAGTTCGACTGGAGTCGTTGTCTGCACGACCAGATGTTTGTGTTCCAGGAGCACGAACTTGATCATATCCTCGATATTGTCATCACGAAGATGACTCCTCAACGATCACCGTCACAGAAGCCCGTCCCCGCCAACATGATCTTTCTCAGCGCACGGTATGCCCACTATCACTCAAGTCCAGAGCTTTTGGGTCGCCTGTTAGTGTCTGCCATGGACCGGATCAACGATGTGGTGGAGCGATGCCAATGGGACATGACGATACTTGCGTTTTGGATATCGAACGCGACTCTGCTGTTGCACTATCTCAAAAAGGATGCAGGGCTTGTCGAAGCGACGGTCGAGTTTCAGGCGCATCTCGCGGAATTGATCAATGAGATATTTATCCTTATCGTCCGTGATGCGGAGCGACGGCTGGACAAGGTGCTCGACCCGGCAATGCTCGACCATGAGACTATCCCGGGATTTGAGGATATCACATTCCAGAACGAGTGGAAGATCTTCAAACGCAAAACTACTGTGAAAGAGGAGCCTCTCGAGAAACGATTTCGACCACCCTCGCCGAAGCAGCGCGCTAAACCAGCGCCCCGGAGTGTCACCTCGTTATTGTCGTCAACCCTTTTCGTGCTAGACCTTTACGACATTCACTCTGTGATCACGGCGCAAATCATGTCGCAGCTCATTTACTGGATCAGCGCGGAGCTTTTCAACCGCATCATGTCGAATCGGAAATACCTCGCGCGAACGAAGGCCATGCAAATACGAATGAACATCTCGACGCTGGAGGAGTGGGTGCGGACAAATAACCGGCAGGCTGAGCACTACGAGGCGGGGAATACGGAGGCAACGGGCGAGACAACGGCGGATGCCGCTCGCCAACACCTAGCACCGGTCATACAGCTCCTACAGTGGCTACAGTGCTTCTCCTCGCTGGATCCGGACGACCTCGAAGCACTGATTGCGACCCTGCAACAACTCAAACGATTAACACCACAGCAGCTGATCCACGCGGTCAACCACTACAGACCCGAGGTCGGAGAAAAGGGGCTGCCGAAGAGCGCCATGAAGTACTTGCTTTCCCTACAAAAAGAAGCGGCAATGAAGCGGGATCGGCGGCGAAGCAGGAATATGTCACCGATGCCTGATACCTCACCCGTGACGCCCGTCAAGGGCAAAAGGTCTAACAGTGCCCACCTAGAGACACCGGGAAGCATTCAGGACACACCCGGAAACGACGGTCACGGCGGGTCAGATGACGACGACGATGCCCCCGAGCACCTTCTTATGGACCCCGCCATGATGCTACCATTCACGTTGCCTTCCGTCACAGACATGCTCGTCTCCTACGGCGCGGGCTTAGGCGGTGTGAACAGGGAGAGAGAACGTAAGTATATACCATCGGTGCCCCCCGAGTTCCTCGAAAAGCTCGAGGTCAGCGGTGCAAGGAAGGGGCCAATGTTCGAAGAGAAGGACTGGGAGAATGAGGAGGTCTGACGGGTTCACGACTCTATCCTCTTCAGAGAGCTTCCTGTGGATCAGAAAAAGTCAATGCCACATCTGGAGGGGCTAGCCGAGCTGCATGCTGCAAGGAACAGGAAATGTGGCGGCCAGTCCATGCCTCTAGCGCAAGGCCCGAGGATACCACAAGAAGTTGTCATCTCGTTACTTCTGCTGCGACCCGAGGACCGGGTTTGTTGGCGGGGGGCGCCTTAACCAATCTCATGGCTTCTAGAGCAAAGAGACTCGCTCTCTTCATTTTGCAAAGCCGGCGCAGCCAAGCGAGTCAATAGGTTGAAGAGGCATTGTCCAGATGTATCATACGGCGCCCGGACTTGATGGTGAATGGTAACGTCGGCGCACAATATTTCCTTGTTCCCTCTTTCTTTCAAGGTGACGGATGCAGTAACAGTTGAACGTGCCGTGATAGGTTGGACATTGATGCGCTGGCTGCCGCCACGTCGAGCTACAGCTGCAGGATGCCACCAAACAGGGCTCGTGGGCGCCACATGAGATTCCTTTTGGGCAACGGCTAGGAAAAGAGAAGTAATCCAATTGCTGCTTTGGGCACGGCCTGGATCGGCCTATCGCACCTTTTTGGGAGGCAGTTCAATCGGTGAGAAGTGTTTGTCTACCTTTCATGTGTCGACATGTCGTTGGACTCGGGCCACCACCACCTGACACCGTACTCATCACATGCACCCGTTGGCTGACACAAACAATGATTGCAGCTCAGTTAGTAGCACGCGCAAAAGACTGCTCCATGGGAAGGGTGTTATGTGCGGCGGGCGGAAATGCAGAAGCGATTCACTATACGTGGGACCGACCAGCTGGTTGACGGCCCATTCATCTACACCTCGGATGACCAGCAACTCGTTGTTCAAAAAAGTCCTCCACCTAACCTCCCCCCTGAGAACTCTGTCCAAAAAAATTAAGTTACTATGGAGTCTTGTCAAAAAAACAGTCTCTTCCGGTGCTCCCTTGCATTGTGATTCGACGAGGCCTCGTTGATGATGTGGCGCTCACATTGGGTGCGGATGCGTTTGTGCGGTGAAGCAAGGACACACGTCGCCTGTGGTTCGTTCTCTAGTTGCGCTTGGGCCCTGCTGGGTGTTTGTCCCTCAAGGGTCCGGATCTGCCAGTGCGCGCAGCGTGTCTACGAGAGGAGGAGACAGCAACACTCGATGATGTGGCAGTAGGTGGATGGCCGTCCGAGCACATGGTACACGAAGTCCTCACCGTAGTTGTCAGTCATGACTGAGTGGTCCGTATGGGAAGGTACTACCCAAGGTACCTTTCTTTTCTGATGCCGTCCCTTGATCGATTTGGATTATAATATCGCAACCTTCTTGAATTGTTCCTGCATTAATCGCAAGCCACTTGTTACTTTATTGTGTCTATCAAGCATTAGCATCGTCGTTGGTTTTTCCCGGACCTGTCCATCCCGAGCAAGATCGCCTGGACGCACATCGCATCCGCGGAAACGCACCAGCCGTGGGAAAATCAGGAATCGGATACTAATAAGCAAAGCTACTGCTGAGTGATCTCTCGGCTTGACTTACACGGACGATCAAGAGCAGAGCCCCATTCGACCTCACCACTCTGCGCGCTGTATTGCCGAAGACAGGCAAGAAGCCATTTGTGCTCTCTCTCAGCTGAGGAAGTACCAGACGACGCCCACCATGTCTTCGAGATCCGGCAGTGTACGACAGAAGAATCGACCAGCTGTGCGCAGACCGTCATTCCGTGACGAATACAGCCTTGTGGGGATCCGCTACGAGAAGACGTCTCAGGGCGAAATGCCCATACCCATCACGACGATCAACCCTGTCCGCTCGCCATCGCGACCGACATCATCGGAATCATCAGCATCGTCGGGCGCCTGTGCGATCACTGGCGGCAGCCTGATCATAGTCAGGCCGCGCAGGACCGCGCCGTCCATTGACGAGCACCCTGCACTGCGCACTAGAAAGGCAGTGCAACAGCAGTGCAAAGACGTGTGGAAGCGGGACTCTGGCCACGGGGCGAATAGCTTGTCGTCGAGCACGCCAACCATTGATGAGGAAGACGGTGAAGACGGGTCGTTGTTTGACAGGCACTCGGCGCTGTTGAAGAAACACAGACTCTCGTCAGTGTGCGTGTCAGGCTCAGGCTCACCTGCCGTGCTACCGGCAGATCACAATCATCTCCGGCAGGCCAAGCAGGGCAAGGATCAGGCACACAATCATGTTGCATCTGACATGCTCGCTTGCCGGGTCGCATCCGACACGTCCGTCCTCCCATCGCGTTCTCCGTCTGTATCAGCGCCATCGTCACAATCGCCGCCAAAAAAGCTCGCCAGAGGCCTGAGCATTCGCTCAATCTTCTCAATCACCAATAGTCCAAGACTGTCTGCGACTGCACGGAGTGCTTCCACGCCAATGCGGGACCAGGTCACGCCCGAGCCCGTAAGGGAGCCCCTAATATGGGGCTATCCGTCCCCTGAAGCCGCCATCACCAGCGCTAGCGATGAGCCTAACAAGAAGACCCCTAGCACGCCAATTTCAACGCCAAAGGTCGCCGCCCGCGAGTCCATCGGGTCCTCCTCTCCCAAATCGCAACCGCAACAACGCGACTCGGTCGAGACCATCGAAGCCACTCACTATTCTCCTCTCGACCTGTCACTCCCCCCGGACGGCTTGCTCGACGATGGTTTCCTAGCCAGCTTATCCTTCTCTCAGCGCGGCAGTGTCATGTTTGGTGGGCAGCGAGCTCTAGCTTTGGACGATGCCACCATGGCACATCAATCAACATCGCACGCGCAACCACCCCTCGAAGACCCGCGCACGAGCGTCGACAACGATCCCAAGCCGTCGCCTAGCCCGGCGACAAACCTATCGCCAAGCGCTACACCCGTATCAGAGACAATCCCTGGCTCAGGGACGCCTGCGAGCGACGCGACACCAGACACTGGCCATGCCACTCCCGATGCCAGTACGCAGGGGCAAACCTCCGAGCCTGAGCGACCGGCCGAGCCCCAGTCACAGACACAATCTGAGCCACCACCACAAGCGCAACAATCCACACAATACCTGAACGTACCGTCGGATATCCGCCTAATGGAGCCCGACCTCGAGAAGGAGTCCCGAAAGGTGAGATCGCTCTACGCTGCTGACGAGACCCCTCGATGGGAAGACGGTGCCCTGCCATCCTTGTCAGGACGAACGGCCTCTCCCATCGAGGAGGTGTCGCCCGAGGAGGACGAGAACGACCCGTAGGATTTCCTTGTCTCCCGTGTCTCATGGTAGCATACAAGCTGACTTGTCCCCTTTTCCGGTCGTGTAGGTCTCACGGTCGCCTTGGTCCCGTCAGAAGTACCCCGTGCTCCGGCGCATCCTCTTCGCTCCGACCTAGCAGCGCGTACAAGACGCACAAGGATAGTGGTGTTAATCCCGAAGACGGGGACGACTTTGAGGGTGTTGAACTTGACCGATATGGGTTCATCAGGGAGACGAAACGCCCAAATTCATCGAGGGTCGGCACGCCTACAGAGATGAAGTCAGCACTATTCTCGCCTAGAAGAGGGAGGAACGTACTGCAGAAGAGGGACGCCTCTGGTGTCGGATCCCCCCTAGGAACAATACGACGGCCACCCAGCCGGAAAGTGTCGGCGAGATCGCTCAACACCCAACATTCCGAGCTGTCGACCACCTCTTTCCGATCACAGCGCTCTGCCATGCGTCATGCCAGCAACTTGCTCCCTCACAATCGCGACCGCCGGTGGATGGACGAAGCGGGCGATATGCTTACCGTCTCACCGAGTCTTCAAAACGTTGCTGAAGAAGCGCAAGTCGAGAAGATCTCGGAGGCATTGAAGCGGAAAGAGTGGGAGCGATCGGAGAAGTGGCAAAAGATGGCCAAGAATATCAAGAAAGGAGCTCAGGGGGAGGGCATGGAGTTCGAGTTCGACGCCAAGAATCCAAAGCTCATTGAAAGGACGTGGAAAGGCATTCCTGACCGCTGGCGGACGGCAGCGTGGTGGTCTTTTCTCGACACCAGCGCCAAAAATCACCCCAACTCGCGATCTGTGGACGAGATCATCGCCGAGTTCCACAAGCTCCAGTTGAAACCATCTCCAGACGACGTACAGATCGACCTTGACGTTCCGAGAACCATTGGCCGACACATTATGTTCCGTCGACGATACCAGGGCGGCCAGCGGCTGTTGTTCCGGGTGTTGCACGCAATCTCGATATATTTCCCCGAGACCGGCTATGTCCAGGGCATGGCCTCATTGGCGGCGACGCTCCTGTGCTATTTTGAGGAAGAGAAATGTTTCGTCATGATGGTCCGCATGTGGGAGCTGCGAGGCCTCGACCGCCTCTACCGCCATGGCTTTGAAGGGCTGATGACTGGCCTTCAAGAATTCGAAATGTTCTGGCTCAACAAGGACGTTGCCAAGAAACTGGTAGGTGGCCGTCCGCCTCCCTGGTTTGCAAATACTAATCGTGGCACAGACGGAGTTGGGAATAGACCCAACAGCATACGGCACCAAATGGTACTTGACCTTGTTCAACCTTTCACTGCCTTTTCCTGCGCAGCTTCGTGTCTGGGATGTGATCATGCTGCTGGGCACATCAGGTGAACGCGAAATGAAGCCGACCAAGAAGGCTACGAAGACTTTGATGGGACCACCCACAGGCCTCGATGTCCTACATGCCACCAGCGCGGCGCTGATCCACGCCATGCGGGAATTGCTGCTCGACTCGGACTTTGAGAACGCCATGAAGGCGTTGACGTCCTTTGTCACCATCAAAGACGAGGATCTACTCATGAAAGTCACAAAGGCAGAATGGAAGGCTCGTCAAGGCAAGCGAAGGTCGTAGCAGGCCTTCCCCTGCCATTCACATAATTCACCGAGCCGCCACCGCTGATGATGGCGAACTTGAAACAGTCATGTTCTTCTCGTCTTGCGGCTTTTTTTGCTTCTTTGTTTGGGAATAGCGACGGATGGGGCATCGCCCAACTGTTTTTGCGAAAGCTCTCGATACCCCCTGGAACGCTTGTCTTGTTTGAAATTCTATTTTTCTTGTTCTCTTTTCCTTTGCAGCGCTACGGCTAACTGCGCGCGCCTTGACGGCAGTCTCTGGTTTTCCTTTGTCCGTGGGAGATGACTGTATGTAAGTGAGCATCGGCTAGCAGAGAGCGCACGTGTTGGGCTGGGCTTGTTTCCACACAATATACCCCTTTGAAGATTATTGGCGGAGTGGCGTGCTATGACAGGGCGGTAGGATACGTGCTTGGAAGGGGCTTCACGAAGGCAGGCTGGCTGGGCTCTTTCTCTTAATGAACGCAGAGAACGACATGTCGGAGGTGGTGATTATTAATAGAGTAATTGACGACCTGATTCTATCAGAGCACCGCACCGGTGCTGCTGAAGACCCCGTGAGAATGTGATCCTGGCCGGCGGGTCCGTGCGCTACGCTCCATCGGCGCCGCGTGCCATCCATGTCAGATGGGGGGGGGGGCCGCCCATCCCCGACGCCGAACCGAGCCCGGCGCGATGATTTGCGCTCCAGCTCAATCGATGGCCTTGTCAATTAAGTTACGCCACAGAAGGTCCGTTGAAAGCCGCATTCCAGTCTCGAGCCACGCGACCACGTGCCAGCCACACTGCGCACTATCGTCAAGGAAGCTCGCGTGGAAAGTTCTAGACCGAGGATGCACACCGCTGTGACCGACCCCCCGGAGCCAAGAGCGCGGAACGAGAGGACAGCTTCCCCGCGGACGTCGTCTATTCAACCCCCGAGATAGATTGGTCAACGGCCGGAGCGTTCCTCAGGGGTTGTCCATTGCCGTCACGTAGCCATTGCGCCGGCGTGTAGCTTAGCTCAGCTCCATATTTGTATGTGTAACTTCTGACGTTGGTTTTCCCCCCAGTATGCTACAGATGACGCTGCCTGAGCCTTTATATCGTCGTGCTTATCCATTGTGTCGTGTTCTCGTTCCATGCCCCGTGTCCCAAACCGTAACGGCCGTTGATGCATACCTACAAAATGCAAGAAAAGAGACAATTGTCTAAAATCTCGAAATCAGGGAAGATTCGTGACAAGAAAATGGGAAACAAGGTGTTTCCGGTACATTACAATAGCTCGGCAACGTCAGTGGCCGCGTCATTGACGCTTGCCTCGCTGGGAATCATGCCCTTGGGAACGAGGGTCAGATTCGACAGGCGACCCTGGTCGTGTGCCACGGCCACTCCCGCCGCCGCCGTAGTACGCAGACGGACTCTGCCACGAGTGGGTGCGTGCCTCGGATGACTGCTCGGCCGGATTGCCTGACAGCAAGGACGACACCGAATGTTTCCCAACTTCGCTCCGCGCTCGTTCCCTCGAGACTCGCACCGGCGACTTTTCTTTCGCCGATCGGTCCGACTCCTCTGCCCGTTCTTGTGTCGTACTCGATCGGTACCATGATAGATCGCTCCGTTGGCGTTTGTGGCCTCGCCTGTTGGAGGATGGCTGCATATGGGAGGACGTGAGTGATGGGGGTGACCGTGGTGGTTGATCCATCGTCGAAGAGCCCGTCTTTCGCTTCTTGGGTATGTCTCCTAATGGCGCGTTGCACATTAGTCAATGGGCTCTCGCTTCCGTTTGATCTGTGACGAACCAGGAGGACTGCTGGGCTTATTGGTGCTGGCACTCGTCGAGCCGCCGGCCTGCGACGTCGGGGGCTGCCAGTGATGGAAATACAACCCGGGGCCTGATTCTTGCGACGACTGTTGCCCTTGCGATTGGCCATGTGGTGGGTGTGTCGATGGCCCTGCTACGAGCCCGCCGCTCACAACGTTCGTGTTTATGTTGGGCGGGTTTGCCATGGGCTGGGACTGGTGCGCCGATGGTCCTCCTATCGTTTGCGACCTGATTCGAGACGGAGAGCCTGGCTGTGTCTGATACGTGGCTGAGGGATGAGGCGGCGCCTGAGCTGGTACTCCAGATCCATATGGGCCAAAGCTTTGCCCCGAGGGGTCTCGCTGGTGGCGAGGGGAGGCTTGACCTTGCGGTGGCATGATCTGTAGATGATGGCCTTGAGCTTGAGCGGTGTTCATGAATTGCTGAGCCCAATCGAGAGCGGCCTGAGGTAGGACGCCACCTGCTCCCATCCCAGCAAAGACAAGCGGCACCATAGGGGGCGGTATACCGCCACTTAGAGATGCTCGCAACATGTCGGACTCGATTTTCCGTTGCTCGAGGCGCAAAGTTTCCTGTCTAGTCCTCTCTTCCTCCTGCTTCGTCCTCTCTTCCTCTGCTCGAGCTTGCAGCCAGTTTTTCATGGACTCCTCTGAGCCTTGCCATTGGTGAGGTGGTGCTGGCAGAGTCGATGGCTCCTGGGCGGCGTTGAGGTGACTTTGCCCCCCTGTCCCCCCTGGCGGCGGCGGTGGTTGTTGATGAGAATGTGACTGCTGCGGGACTACATGCTGAGGGTGGTGATGAGAGGGAGGAAGAGCGTGCGGTGGCGCGTGTGAGCTCACGGATGGCCCCTGTTGTTGATGGGGAGGCAGGGCCATGGCTGCCGGTGGAGGCAAGCCACGGTGAGAACTTGACATTTGTTGTCGAGGTGGAGGAGGGCTATGACTCCGTCTTGCCGACTTAGCGCGCTTGAATGGGTGGTCTTGATACGTCCCAGGAGGTGACGATCTGGTGTATGGTGGCGTTGGAAGGTCATGGACTGATGTGTAGCCGAACGCCGAGGCCTGCTTTACGGTAAGCATCTTATCGACTGAGAAGATGGTAGTGAGGTAGGTGAGAGTGACTGGGTGTGTGCAAGTGAAAAAGATCGCGAAGGCAATGAGTTTGCATCCAGACTGGGGGCAGAGCTATGCTCCAGTGGGTAGAGAGAGCCTATGGCTAAAGATGGATGCGAAGCGAAGAGTATGTTTGGGGGACAGATACGTCGAAAGCAGACAATATAAGTGAGCGGTTACAACCTTTGTGTAGAATGTGGTGTGCCAAGCGAGCTGGATGGGTCGACCAGCTCAGGAAAGGGTAGTAGTCGGGACGAGCAGGGCCTATGGGATGGAGGGGCTAGCTAGCAGTTCCAACCTCATTTGCTATCACAAGGGTGCCGATGGCACGATGTCAGTGGGTTTCGACCGCTGCGGCTTAATCGATGTCGCGGCCTTGCCCGAGGCCAAGCAGGGGAATAGGTAAGGTAGTGGTACTGAGACGGGCTGCTCAGCATGTACGGATTTCTCCTGTGCCTCAATCGCTGCACCTGTGACGGCGAAGGACTAGCAGGGCCTTGACCAAGGATATAAGCAGGATGTGAGAGCACTCGTCTGTTGCGTGACGACAGTGAGCATACAGACGCGGATGAGGATAGGCAGAGGGGAGATGGAGAAGGCCCAGCGAGCTATGGCTCCCGAACTCGGCAGCAATCGAAGGGGGAACAGACCATCAACAAGTGGCAGTTCTGGAGATCGCGGTAGCTAGCTAGGATACACCCATGGCAGTCTGCTTCCTGTACAGACGGGACCGGCAAGCCAAACGCGCGGCAGACAGTCTCGCAAGGCTGGGCAACCAGCACTGAGCAGGGGAGTCGTCTTTCTCGGTGAACGGATCCAAGTCCTGCGCGAGGCGAATTACTCAGTTGGGAAGGAGTGCAAGGGTTGCCGCCAACTTGTTTAGGTTCAAGAGTCGAACTTGGGGTTTGACGTTGCTGACAGGGCGGTGGTGGCGTCTGTCTGTTTGTCTGGGGTTGCGCATGAAGGGGCCTTGGGGCTGTACCGGCAAGGTGAGGAAACCGACCTGGAGATTGGAGTGAAGGACCGGATTTTACTGTAGCAAAAGTGCACCAGTCGCCCTCGTCATGAGCAGCTTCGGTCACAGATTAGGAAAGGGAAGGTTCAAAGGAGGATGTGCGAGGCAGGCAAGGCAGGCAGGCAGGCACAGAGGGGAGGGACGTTGGGAAGGATGGATGGGGTCCATTCGTCAGACGAGACAGGAGGAAAGACCACAAACCTCGACTGGACCTTGACTTTAGGTCGGCCATAAGCCACCGGCGTCCTTGGCCCACTGTTAATGCCACCGAGGAGCAGGCACAGACAAAAAACCCTTGACCATGTCTGGACAAGCCTGGCCCAGGACCGGGCTTGTAGCTTGACGGCTAGGCCTGTGAAGGCAGTGGGGGCCGATCTGCTGGTCCGCCCGTAACACCAGTGAAGTTGTGAAGGGGGGTCCTTTTTGTGAGTTGTTGGGTGGAGGGGTTCTCGAACCACAGGTTGGCGTGGGCCACCCAGCTTGCGAGTGCTCCATATCGTTCGAGTGCGGCGACAATGAATAATTAGCGGCTGATGGGAGCTTGCACACAGTTCAGGGCTCTGGCAAATGCAGTACTGTGCCCAAATCACAGATAGATTTGCTTCTGTTGTGCAGTCTGCATCCCCTTCGCGTTGGCTGGCCCGCAGTGTCCTAGATTAGTCCACCCTAGACACTTGCTGGTTCGCCGGAGGTTTCATGTAGCAATCAGGAGCTCGCGAAGTTGCGTGTCTGCAGCAGACGCCTATGCACCATGGAACGATTGCCTCATTGGGTACACTAAGGCGATCTGCTACTGTTGGGAGGCAGGGGCCCCATGATGCATGATCCGATACATTTGTCGATGCCATTCAACCCAAACTGATGTATTTAGTAAATCGGCGTGCTGAGACAGCCAGCTGCCGGGACTGCGCTGGGTCAAGGTCAACAACTCTCCAGCCATGAGACACTTCAGCCATGTGACGCTTCAGACGAGCCGTAGAGAGCTATTAATTGCCGCCTTCAAGGTTGTACTTATGCCAGAGCCAGTGCCAAGCCCAGTCGGTTGAGTTACCGAGCTTTGGGTTACA